CCATCCTTTCACGATACCCATGATACTCAGATGTGCACTAAGAGCTGCTTATGATGTGCACTGAAAGCATCTGCCTAGTGCTGGATTTACGTATAAGCTAAACAAGGTATAGCTTGGGGCCCCACTCCCTTGGGGCCCCAAAAAACATTTAAAGAAAAAAAGACTGGATATACATGAATAAAAAAATCATTTTAAGTTAGAGCTTAATAATTATTTCACTATTAATATACTTCTTAATTGTATCTCACTATTAATATACTTCTTAATTGTATTTCAGTTCAACAATTACTTTGATAAAATACATATTTTGTTATGTGCAAATGGCTTTAGATACCTATTAGGTCCATAAATTACCATATAGCATATGTTCAACACAAAAAACAGTGACAATTTGTTGCTGACAAAGGACAACTGGACATATAGAGGGTCCCATTACCTTCAGTAGCTTAGGGCCTCATCAAATCCGGCCCTGCATCTGCCCTGGGTTCGGTGGGGTAAGGAGAGGGCTAGCCTGCACAGCCTTGCCATTCCCCTCATGTGTACTTTGAACGCATGAGAGGGGAGTTATCTGAGTTCTACTTATTCATCATCAGCAATGTCATGGGCACCAGAAACAAAACAGAAGAGAAACAAAACAGAACAGACATATGAATTTTACTACTGAAATTTGGGTCCATTGCTAACCCTATGCCTTTGAATAAGTATTTCATGCAACAGTTGGTTAAGTGCTGCATGTTTCTTCCCAAAACAAACAACCAGCAAACAAACAAGCAAGCAAGAACATACTTTTGATGGGTTTAATACCTGAATCTGTTTTCTTGCATTTGTTTCAACTCATGGACATCAGGCGATAGTAGGCCACTGTGCCTGTATTTTTGTTGTTGTTGTTACTAGTTTCAGTTTGTGAACATTATAAGCAAGTTACTGAGATTTATACAGGCGGCATACTTGAGGCTGAAGATATAAATCTTAAATTATTTAAAATTTGCTAATATGATTATGGAAACAAGTATATTTTCAGTCATTTGAATTACATATTTGTTGTAATGCTTAGGAAATGAGCCATATCCAATCAACTCTGGTTCATCTGATAAGAATTGTGATCTGGTCCCAGTGAAGGAAGCTCATGGTATATATAGCAAGGTAAGGATCTATCTATCTATCTATCATCTATCTATCTATCTATCTATCATCTATCATCTATCATCTATCTATATCTATCTAATCTACAATTGCCTTATAAATTGCAGTTATTTCAAAAGGCATCCTGGACTTGCAGTGGAGGGTTTTTTGTGTGCATCTGGAGGAAAACTGCTGACATTTTGTGAACTCAGCAAGGCCAGTAAAACTTTTTTTATGGCTCAGAACACACCTTTCCCCCGCTCTGCCAAAGACTTTGGCTAAATAAATCCCTTAACAGCTCACCAATACCTGCCAATCTTTGAAGTGGTAATTAGCTGGTTATTTTCTTTGCTGAACTTTTATGGTTTATTGGGTATTCTCACTTCTGTTTCTACCTGCTCCCTTCAAAAGGGTGTTTGGGTTTTAGAGTCCATCATATGATGATAGTGAAACTGAGCAATTCTCTTCTGGAAAAGGACCAACCCATCAAAAACCATTTTAAAATTCTTTTACTTTTTGCATCCCCCCCCCCCCCAAAAAAATATCTCTGGAATTTCATCATTAAACAAATACTTGTAGGCATGGTTTTCCTCCTCCTCCTCTTCTTTGGCAATCACTCATAGTCAAGTAAGATTGTCTTCCATAAACATGGTCCTAACAGTGAGTCTGTACATGACTGTGGAGGCCAATCCTGGATCCACATGTCCTTCCGCAGTGGGGACATAGGTTTCCGGGTGAGAGTTGATCACGGTGAGGGTTTCCAAAATGTGCCTTCCTCTTAGCTCATTTCTCCTTTTCACCCTGAGTTCGTGCTTCTTTCAAGTCTGTAGGCATAGTAAGGTAAAGGTAAAGGGACCCCTGACCATTAGGTCCAGTCGTGGCCGACTCTGGGGTTGCGGCGCTCATCTCGCTTTATTGGCTGAGGGAGCCAGTGTACAGCTTCCGGGTCATGTGGCCAGCATGACTAAGCCGTTTCTGGCAAACCAGCACAGTGCACGGAAACGCCGTTTACCTTCCCGCCGGAGCGGTACCTATTTATCTACTTGCACTTTGATGTGCTTTTGAACTGCTAGGTTGGCAGTAGCAGGGACCGAGCAACAGGAGCTCACCCCATCGCAGGGATTCGAACCGCCAACCTTCTGATCAGCAAGTCCTAGCTCTGTGGTTTAACCCACAGCATCACGGTACCAAACACCTATTATTTAATATGCTACCAGATCAAACACAAGGTGCTAGGGATGACCTGTAAAGTCTAATAAGGCTTGGGAAGTTAATATTTGAAGGGCTATCTTCATAAGAACATAAGACTGTCACGCTGGATCAAGTCAACGGCCCATTTCGTCCAAATCTTGAGAAGCCTCCATGCAGACCCTGATAAAAACGCCCCCTTCTTCTCTGTTAGGAAAGTTCCATCCAATACAAGTCTGAAACCAACCTATTGCTTGTACGAGCAATAAACCCATTATTTATGATAAAGCAGTATTATTTCATAGTTCCAGAGCAATAGTTGTAAGTGGATGTATACTACATTCTTTTTCTTCTGTTAGCTGCTCCAGGAATATGATTGAAGGGTGGTATAAACTTGAAATGAATTAATAAGTTGGTCTAAGTTAACTTATTAAATTTGGATTGTTTATATTGGCATTTGTTAGATACCTCCAGCATTTGGAGAGAAAGCTTCATAAATAAGTATGCACATAGCTAAGCAGTTAAGTGGTGTTTATTTCAATGGGGTTTAAGTGCACCTCATTTTCCCTCTGAGTCATGTCCACTGTACTTTTAAAACAAAACCCAGAAAACAAAAGCACCCTTGCTGGAGGAAAATGTAAGAAGTTACATTTGGAGAAGGAGAGATGTTCAGAGCCTTCTAAGGGACTTCCATGCCTCAGCCTAATTACTGCTATTTTTGTTCTTCTGATGTTTTGTTGGCCTAAAGAGCAATACAGTGACATCTTATTTGATGTTGTTCAGAGCATTGCGCTGTGTGTAATTAAGTTATTAACGTATTGTTATTAAAGGGCACAAAGTGCTTATGCCCATGCGATCATTGTGAGAAAGTAAAAGCTTCCTGGAGCCACACCCTCATGCCTTTGACATAAGATCTGGTTCTGAGTCATGTGCATGATCAAACACAACCCAGTGAAGTTCACGTATAATCCGTTTTAATGCCTTTTCGCTTTGCATCTTGAACGCTGTAATTCTGACTCATAAGCTTGCAGAGAGTGTGTCAACGCTTTGCTCAGGCAACTAGTTTTGAAATCTCAGACTTCTTGTAGACCGGCATGTGCAACACCATGCTGCATTCAGAGGACTTTGCCCAAACCTCTGATTGCCGCAGGCTCACACGCTCCCTCCCATAGGCGCCAACTCCCTGGGGCCCTGGATGCCTGAGCACCCACAAAATTCCCCATGAAGGGGCCGGGCACCCACAAAATTTCAGTGCTAGGGCCATGCACACTGCATGGCACCCATGACCCTGGGCACCCACAGTTGCGATACCAAGTTGGCAGTCCTGCTCCCTCTTCCCCTCCCCTCTTCCTCTGTCTACAAGGGAAGATACAGGATGAGGTACATCCACTTCTAACCAGAGGCAAACCATAGTTTGCTGTTGCATCTGAACGTAGTAATCTATGGCTCACCAAAACTGTCGGATTATCATGAGAATTTGTTTTTGTTTTTGTTGTTTAGTCATGTCCGACTCTTCATGACCCCATGGACCAGAGCACGCCAGAATTAGGATGTGTCATTAACTAGAAGTTCTGTTTTCCTTGTATGTGGATGATATCCCATTCAAGAGGCAAAAAGGGGCAGTAGTAACTTGGTATACCTAAAACAGGAGTGAGGCTACGAAACCAAGAGTACCTGACAGAGGATCCCACTTTCCTATTTACATACCGTCCAGCAGTGGTAGCTTGCATGGGCGTAGCCAGAATTCTGGGGGGGGGGGGGCAGGACTTTTTTCAGGGGGGGGGCAAACTGATGTGATTGGTCAGTTAAGTATTTCTATTGTTCTACTTGATCTAAGGGGGGGGGCAGCTGCCCCCCTTTAGCTCTTCCCATGGTAGGTTGCGGTGGTGGGGGGAGCAGAGGCCTTGGCTTGCTTCAAGTTGTGACAATGCTGTGTTTGTTAGGGCAGAGATGGGGTGAGTTGGGATGGGGGCAGCCCCACAGGTGCACCTGCAAGGGTGCCTCTCCCTAACCAAAGCTCCTCTGGCCTCACCTCTGCCTCACCCCATCCACATGGCAGGAAATGCAGCGCCGCTGCTGCTGAGAGAACATGACTGCCTCCATTCCCTGCTCCCAAATGAGCCACCACTGTTGTCTAGAACCAATCCCCAAACATTGCTGGACTACAGCTCCAAGCAACCCTGAGCATTGCCCATGCTGGCTGGGGGATGATGGTCTTGCAGTTCAAGAATATTAAGACATTATTAACCAACTCCAGGGTTGCAGGTGGTTGCGCTGTGGCCTAGATCAATGCCTAATTGTCTCAGCAATTATGTTATATGCCAGTCGTTTCGCAGAGAAAAATCAAGTTTCATCACTGTGCAAAGCCACTTTGTAACCTATCTGCTCTAAAGATAGATTGCCCGGGATGAACATTTAGGGTTTTATTCCCCATTTCTTAAGCCAATCCTTGGACCAAGTGACAAATTGGGTGCCCTTACAAAGACAAAGATGAAAGTGTGTGAGTCAATGCTAACCAAATTCCTTTGCTATTTGTGTGTTAAAACAGTGGTGCTGCACTGCAGAGTTCGCTGGATTATTTCAAATATATAAAGCAGTTCCCAAACAAGGCCGTTCAAACAGGAGTTGTAAAATCTCTAGTGCATTGTTTTGGCCACTTAATCTCCCTTATTTATGACTGTTATTTTTAGACGAGCCAGAATGATCCGAGCAACGTGTGTGGCCAAGGAAGTCCTGGGATCGGACTAGATGAACCAGCTTTCCGTGTAACATCTTATCTGGAGGAGTTAGAGAAACACAGATTCTCCGTATGGTGAGCAAACTGATTTTTCAGTTTGTTTTTGGTTTACTCCTGTAGAACTATGCAAAACATGTTGTCCCCCCCCCCTCTTTAGGTCAGGGTGGGGCGGGGGCAATAGAAGCAAAACTATCTAAGGAAACATGACAGTTGAAATAAGTGGTGATTTAGTACTGGGGCTGTTCATTATTTCTGGAATCAGAAAATACATTTCATTTCTTCTGTTGCTGGAAGTGATGCCGTTTGAATCAGCCATAAAAATGAGTTCCTGGCCATTTGTGGTTATTAAAGACCCCTGGGCATTTATTTTTAAAAGAGTAGCTGCACAAGTAGCTGCTCTAACCACAAGATTCTTGCCAAATCCTTATTTTATATTCTGCCAGCCTTAGTGCTTTGCCTGGAGTTTTCAGTTAGACAAAACATGCTGCCTCCTCTCTCTTTCTCTCTCGCCCTCTTTCCTCCTGGCATCAGAATGCCTGTTCCACCTTATGAGAAGCATCTTACAAGAACTCTTAGTCTCTTCAAAGCTAACAATTTGTGCAGAAACATTTCCTAGACACTTTTTTTTTTAAGAGAGAGAGTGAAAGAGAGGAAAGGACCACTCTGAGTAGGTGATGACATGCGTAATAATGCCTGCGTAATAAGGCATGCATATCTATTTCCCCAACCCAAGCCCACGTTGCAAATTTCAAAACAGAAGTGACTGAAGTGGCAAAATGCTGCCTGCCCCTTTTTCTGCCTGATTTATTAGACATGAGGTACATGCTCGCCTTGGCAGTTATGATTTCAAACAATCCCCACTGGCCACATGTGGAGCACTTAAGAGCACAATTAAGGCTATTGCTTTCGGAATCTGATTATGAAATGATGAGCGGGCAGGAAGAAGTTTAATAAGGAAGTAGGAGTGGGCGAATCTGTCAATTCCTATTTCTCGTTTTGTTCCAATCTTGAATTCAGATCTCCACATTTCTACATCATTTGTGATTTTTATCGTAAAAAGATTCTGCAGTATTTTAGTGCAAATTTCTCTTGATATACATAATTTCCCTAATATTTATTTATTTATTTATTTATTTAGGCAAATCTGTTTCCCCTGATAGAATGCATTTTTATAGACACGACTTGCCTGGAAAACTGCATTGCAAAATTCGGTGTGAATGTCAAAGGATGGCTTTGTTTCAGTTTGCGCATTGAAAGTGCTAATTATGTACCTTCACCTTTAAATTCGAATTGAATCAAATCTCTGTTCCATCCCTTATAAGAAAGGATTGATCTTTGCAAATAATATTTGTTTGATAAACAAATATTATTATTTCTTATTTATGTGATTCACCCTGCCCTGCCCAGCTCTACCCCTCTCTTACTTGCTCTACCCTAAATCCCACTGCTTGTCTATTGACTACTGGCCCACCTTAGATTCACCAGCTGCCAGGAAGGTTGCTATCGAATAAAAAAATGGGAACTCTACTCAGTGGCCCACCCATAGCCTGCCCCAGCTGAGTGACTTCTTGAGTTGTCACTCAGAGCTGTTGTTTGTAGAGTAGGAAGTTTCCAGTTCTAGCCCTAGCGGAAAAGCAGGGACCAGTGGCTTTGTGGGGAGGGAATGATAGCTTAGTGACAGAGCAGTGCGCGTGTCACATGTGGAAAGCCCCAGGTTTGGTCCCTGGCATCTCCAGTTACCAAAAGTTTGAGCAGCATGTGATAGCCAAATGATTCTCTGTCAAAGACCTTGGGGAGCTACTGCCATCCAGAGTAGATATTGATGGGCTATATCAGGGTTCCTCAAACTTGGCTTTCCAGCTTTTTTTGGACTACAACTCCCATCATCCCTAGCTAGCAGGACCAGTGGTCAAGGATGATGGGAACTGTAGTGCAATAACATCTCTGCACCCTAGAGGCAGAGGCTTAGCAAATTGATGTGTTGCTCTACAAAAATTCTATGCAATGCTGGGTAGCAATGAGATCAACAAAGGGTATGCTCTAAGCTGTCTATTGTTTATCTTCTTCATTTCTCTGCTCCCGCACTATCTCCCCAACTTGTCTCTGAAGGGCTGCTCCCTTTCTCTGATCCCAGACCTTCCTCTACTAATTCTTTAACAATATATTATGTTAGATGATTAGAGACAAAAATAAAAATAAAAAATAATGGGGCTCTAGGTCTAGGAGCTTTTTAGGTTTCCATAAACATCAGAGTTTTAGATACTCTGAGATGCAATCTGAGCAATTTCCTTGATCTTTTACTGGAGCTGGTAAATCATTTATTGGGGTAGCCTTTTTACAAAATCCTGCTTTAAAAAAAACCCCCATAAAGTCTATTTATCATAAAATGCTGTACTACCAGCCATCTTCAAAGTGATACATGTACTGCATTAATTATCAGCTAACAATGGCCTTGAAAATGGTTTGGGCTTTTTCAGTATCCTGGCGCCCCATTATCTTTGCCTTGTAAAAAAATAAAATTGAAAATAACATAAAATTGGAATACAGGAGCCAAGAAGTGTGTATTTTAAGACAGGATTTTCCTGAAACTTTTTTTTTTTAAGTGATTGCAAAAACTACTACTCTTATCACTGCCAATATTTGTCTCCATAATGCTATAATTCATAGCATACTTCAATAATATGTGAAGCCCTAAGTGGACAAGCCTTGAAATCTTTATAAAATGAGTCTGCAAACCCCAAAGGACCTACAGGGCCCAATCTATTGCTCACTTACTTCAGGGGCACATTGAGCTGGATCTGAAGATGAGCTCAGTGGAGTTCAGGGCCGGTACAACCATGAGGTAGGTGAAGCAACCACCTTGGGTGGCAGGAACCACAGGGGCAGCAGATTCCGGTGTAGATATTTACTCCCCCCTTGTTCCTGGTGTCATTCTTCACACCCCTTTTTGTCCCTAACAGTGAGGAGGGGCACCATTTTGTGGTTTGCCTCAGGTACCAAAATGTCTTGGGCTGCCCCTGGTGGAGTTCTACTTGCAGAGAAGAAGGTCCCTCTGCAGCCCCCTGAAAAAGTGCACCAGATGACTGAGGAACTTTCCAGAACAGTGCAGGAGGTGGCTGTGGACAGTGGCAGAGGAAGGGGGTGTGGGGGGTGCGGGTCGCCCCGGGTGTCATCACTGAGGGGGGTGACAAAATGACAAAAATATGAGTTAAAAAAAATAATTGGGCTCACGAAACTTTTTAGTTCAGTCAACAAACATAACGAAACGTGGCTGGCATTGGGCGCCACACCATGGGGGCCGGCAGTTACCTCAGGGCCTGCAATGTACCTGAGCCACACGTCTCTCCTGGGAGTGACGTAGTGGCTTGGGCACCTGCAGGTTCCGCGCTCCCTGAAATGGCAGTGTGGGACTTGAGTCTGCCCTCCGCCTCTCCAGCTGCCCTACAGGTGAGGAAGAGGCGGCGGAGAGGCTCCATGCAGTGTGCCCCGCCCCTGGCTGCAGGATGCATGGGCCGCACCTGGCACCCAAGTGTCTAGCTATGCCGCTGGCTGTGGAGGAGGCTGCAGGGGAGTGGGGAACTAGTGGAAATTGCTGAACTATCCCTGTCCTCCAGTGCGGAACCTCTGCTGGGTTCCAGTTCCCTCCATGAGCAGGAGCCCTTATGCTCATGTGGGGGACAAGAGTCTTTGGTGCCCAGAAAGCATTTCATTTGATGACTGCAGAAAACTCTCACCACCTCAGTTTTTTTCCCTAGCAGAAACTCAATTCTTTCCCCATTCTCAGTGATTACAGTATAAAAAGGTAAAAATACAGTTCAGCTATGATTGTCCCCTATATTTTCCCAGATTTTGAATTTTGTTCAGTTGTGTTTCTCTTGTATGCTGCCTGTGGCCAATGGGAATTGTCAGCTTGCAGCTCTGTAGCAGGTTGTGGGGGCAGCAAAACTTACCTGACCTCCCATCACTGGTGCAAGAGGGCAGGGAGGTCTGCACAGTGCAAATGCATATATGGCACCTCCTACGGCAAATAGAAGGGGAAGAAATGTAGGCAGTGAGAGATTTTACTTTCTTGGGCTCCATGATCACTGCAGATGGTGACAGCAGTCACGAAATTAAAAGACGCCTGCTTCTTGGGAGAAAAGCAATGACAAACCTAGACAGCATCTTAAAAAGCAGAGACATCACCTTGCTAACAAAGGTCCGTATAGTAAAAGCCATGGTTTTCCCAGTAGTGATGTATAGAAGTGAGAGCTGGACCATAAAGAAGGCTGATCGCCGAAGAATTGATGCTTTTGAATTATGGTGCTGGAGGAGACTCTTGAGAGTCCCATGGACTGCAAGAAGATCAAACCTATTCATTCTTAAGGAAATCAGCCCTGAGTGCTCACTGGAAGGACAGATCCTGAAGCTGAGGCTCCAGTACTTTGGCCACCTCATGAGAAGAGAAGACTCCCTGGAAGAGACCCTGATGTTGGGAAAGATGGAGGGCACAAGGAGAAGGGGACGACAGAGGACGAGATGGTTGGGCAGTGTTCTCAAAGCTACAAACATGAGTTTGACCAAACTGCGGGAGGCAGTGGAAGACAGGAGTGCCTGGTGTGCTCTGGTCCATGGGGTCACGAAGAGTTGGACATGACTAAATGACTAAACAACAAGATGGGGGCATTTGCACTGTGCCAACCTTGCTGCAGTCTTACCCCTCTCCCTCTCAATAAGCCACAGTGACGTTAGTGATGGTTAGCTCTGCCGACTGCTACTGCCACAACCTCCAGAGGGGTGCCAGGTTGGGGAGGCTGGATTAGCCACTGTCAGTGACGCAGTTCCATTAAACCATAATGTACTCGGCAGTGTATGAAATCAGTCTTAAAACTGGCACTGAAATCACAGTGCTTAAAAACCATCAGGTTTATTTCCACCTGCTTCCCATAGGGGACACATGAATCTGAGAGCTTGAAGGAAAGCAAGAGTTAATTGTAAGCGCTGCAGTGCCGTGGTGACATTGTTTTTAACAAAAACAATAAACTTTCATTTTTTATAACACACAAGTGATTTGACATTGAAATAAATGCAGATGCTTCTTTGCACAGTGTATTCCCTGTTGTGCTTTCTTAAACACCTTCACATATGGTTTGCCTCATTCTTGTGAAACTGCTTGTTGTTTATGTCATACAAACAGAACAGATTGATTTTACACTGAGTACCTAAGTAGGGAGCAGAATGAATTATCCATTGGAAGCAAATGATTGCCTGTGTGTTCAAAATATTTGAAATTAATCTTGGCTGCTTGAAAAAAAAATTCTTAGGATTCTCCCCGAGACCTATTTTACATTTTATTTAGGCTATGTAATGTTTTGTTTTCTTCTTTAAAAGGGGGAAAGTTTCAGTATTTCAGCTTCACTTCTCGCCAAATTGTTACCATTTCTACAGATGTCCGAATCGTAGGTAAAACTGCCTGAACAAGAATAAGCAGTCAGATTTAGTTTTGGTCTTGTGTAAATGTCTGTAAAGCATGTCACACTCTTAAAGAACCCTTTTTCCTGGCTGTACCTTTGACTCCCATACAAAATTCATTCATTTTTTCATTCATTCACTTATAACAAATTCTTCCCTTTGCCTTAACTTTGCTCCTCACCTCTGTATGCATGTAAACTTTATAGATGATCTCATACACAGGATAATAAATTAAGGTAGTTTTGTCAGCTTAGGTTTGTAGGATAGTGATAATGGTGATGATCACTTTTTCCCCTGGCATGCATACCTAAATTTTCTTTTCCAGAAACTGCCTACATAGGACATGTGCCCTGTTCCTTATCTGCTTTATGAAGCTCTCACATGTAAAACACATTTTGATAAAAGAGCTTTTTTTAAAGAGAAAAAAGGGTGGAAAATAGTGTTTCCCATTGAAAAGGGCCTTATACCACAACTCCTTTCTGCCCTTAACATTCCATAAACAAATGGGATTTTTTTGTTTTTGTTTACACCAGTTAATGAAGATATTCATGTCTATTGGAGTATGTTATTCAGACAGAGGTGCCTAAACTAGGTTCATAACATTATGAACCTGGTTTAGTTTATGAGTTGAGTTTCTGCCATATGAACCTGGTTTATGCGCCTCTTTTTAAATAATACGCCTCAATGGACCTGTATATTCTCCTTCCTCTCCTTCTCCTTCTCCTTCTCCTTCAATAAACAGATAAGGGACACCCCTATGTATTCCATTGAAATGAATACTCTGAGTAGAGGTGGTCTTGGGAAGAACACAATCAAACTCAGTCTGAGTTTCTTACCAAGGCAGTTGGGGAGATGAGGATTGAGATGACAAAAATTTATAGAACTGACTGTCTGTAATCCAACATTACACAACAGATAAGGTTTCAGATATCTTGCAACTGGGAGAGATGGAGGGAGAGTGATTCTGCTGTGCAGATGCCATATATATAATTTATATGATGAAAGGACACATTTACCAAAGTGAAAGGAGATCCACAATTTTCAAATGAGCAATAAAGCAGTTAAGTGGCATATTTTAGTTGTGGTTCATTTTCATGGCTGAAACTATTGCTTAGGTGCATTTCAAGGAAACAAACAAATGGAACTAAGTGCCATAATTATTGTTCATGCTTCTTGCTTTAATATGTACACAAAGCATACTGGGAAATAACTTGGTACCTAAAACTTTCTGCAATTCATTCTTCACCTTGGTGGCTACCCCCCATTCAAATTTTAACAAAGAAATATATACACTGAGTCAACCTCAAACCACAGTTGAAGTATTGGTGAACATTCTCCAGAGCTACCTAGACTCTCATTCCATTTCAGATATGGACATTCTTAGGGGCCCTGGGTATGTATGGGGAAGGTAATTATTCAGCCATCGCTTTGAGACCCTATGGATTTAAGGGGAGGGTTGTTCCTCAAGTGCATCTATGTGACCATGGAATAAGGAGCTGGCTTAGAGATGGTAGTGTCTGTCCTTAGTTTGCCCCAAATGCACAGTCTGTCTTGCCAGTATGACAACAGATCATTTTGTTTACCAAAGCTAGTTCTCTGCAGTTTGTTCATGAATAACTATGCAAATCCAATGACTTGTATCCCTGAAGGTTGACTTCACTCTCAGATCCACCAGTTAGCCACATCCCTTAGAGGTACACAGCATGACCAATGGCAGATCAAGCCTGTAGGAAGCTGCCATATACCAAGTCAGACCATTGGTCCACCTAGTGCAGTATAGTCTACACGACTGGTGGCAGCTCTCCAGGGTTTCAGGCAGTGTCCTCACAAAGCCCTACCTGAAGATGCTGGGGGTTGAACCTGTGACCTTCATGCAAAGCAGATGCTCTACCACTGAGCTATGGCCCTTCGCCAATTTTCTGAAGTCAGTGGATGGGACTGTAACCATCTTTAGGTGCATGGGATGGGATTAGACCTCACAAGTCCCATGCAAGTAAGTGAATCATTGTAATGAATAAATTGTTGCGTATCATCCTCAGCTTTTCATCCCCAAATTGGCAACAACTATCTGTTTCAAAGGCCCGCTGAGAGGATGGTTGACATGAGGGTTGTGATGCATTTCATGTGAAACCAAATAAGTGATGCAAATAAACAATAAGGAACAAGAAAAATCATGTTAAGCCCAACATTTCCCTTTTAAGAGAACTACAAAACAAAAGTGCTGTAAGGAGCTTCTGGCTCTTATTAAGGGGTACAAGATTAAGCTACAGCACTGCAAATATTTGGGGAATATTAATTTGCATGTGAGTCAGAGTTGTAGCTCAGAGTCTATTCATTATGAAGAAATCCCATTTACTGTAATAGGATTATTCCAGAAGATATGCTAGTACCTGTAGAATCATGGAACAACAGAGATGAAAGAGGCTTCAAAGTCATTTATTCCAGCTTGAAGGAGGTTTCTATTAGTACAAACATTCCTATCGGTTCAATATCATCCAGATGTTCTGTAATGTCCCATTTCTCCCAGGTTAGTATGAGCTGTAAGAAGAGAGACCACAAGGAGCATGGGGCTGATATCACCGCTCGACAGCAGATCACACAGTTTGTATGCAGATGGTTCCTGGCATCTCTATTCAAAAAGAACACAGGTAGTAGAACTGGCCAGGCTGTCCACATGAGATCTTGGAGACCTGCAGAGAAGACAGCTGGATGAACCAATGGCCTGATTCAGTATAAGGGAATTTCAGATATTCATGAATGCTAGAAGTGCCTCCAGGACAAGTGTCTTAGAATTCACTTCCCACCAACCACCCAGACAATAGCCAATGGTCAGTTCAAGCAAGCAAGCAAACATTCACATGCTACAATGGAAGGTGAGAAGATCCCCAGAATCATCAAAGAGAACCCTTCTTCATCTTTAATATGGCAGTGTGTTGGCAAAGAATAGGGACCCATCAAGCTGTGCTCCCCCACCTCCCCTTGTGATGCAGCTGCCAGTTAACCAGAAGGTTGGTCGTTCGAGCCCACCCAGGGACAGCTGTGGACAGGATTCCTACATTGCAGGGTGTTGGACCAGAGGACCCCTGGGGTAGGGATCCAGCTCTACCATTCTATGATTCTAAGGGATGTGCTTTTGTACATTATCATTAGTACATCCCATACAACACCATCAGCACTCAGAGCCATCTAAATAATCCTGCAGGATCAAGAAACACCTTAGGGGCTTCTAGCTTATATTGGTTGTACACCATCCCTACAGGATGATGGGCATTTCCTGAGACCAGTTGCTCCGGGCTGTGGGTCCTGTGGGCTGGATATGGAACATCTACCTGATCAGAACTGTGGACCCTCAGGAGGGGAGGGGCTTCCCTACAATCCTTAATTGTGTGTCATGGGTAAAGGGGCAATAATGTATCATGTCCCTCACCCTGGGCAGGGGGATTGGCTCTTGAAGTGCAGGTCAACGGATTTCCTTGACATTAGCTACCCATCCCACATTGTTATTTCCCCCTCTGCAGAGTCTTGCAATTCCTAAATGTGCCCCAAGTTCAACCCATACCACACTCCTTTTGTCTTTATTTCCAGTTCTGGTCCAAAACTGATCTTGGAACATCTGACTACTTGGGGTTAGCAGGGAGCAGGAAATGTTGTTGTTGTTTTTGGTCTTTGCAGATCTTCCTGAAATGGCTCTGGCAGGCAGAAGAGAAACTGGGAAGAGGGAAAGAGGATAGGCAAATGGGTTATACGTACAGGATGTGTTTAAAGGCCTGCTTGTTCAATTGTGAATAAAACTATACTTTATCTGTCTCTTGATTTAACAGGAAGCCCTGCAAACTGGGAATTTGCAGCAGTTGTTCACGAATGTTACAGAGGTGTGAATTACATTCTCTAGCTGAGCTTTAAAGAGACGAGGGAGCGCGCTGGTGTGATTTAGGCAGGCGGCCGGTCAGGGGGCGGAGGAGGCTCCTAGTGCTCATTCCTAGATCTTGCCCACTTTTGATTTTTAGTTTTCCACTGAGGTATAATGATTGAAAACACTCTGTGCAGTTTGCTTTTGCAGGATTTAGCTTGGCCACGTGAGAGACAAAATCCTCTGGTTCAATCATCCTTGCTTGCAGCATGCCTGAGTGCTGTTTTTTAAAAGTTATTTTTTCTCTGAGAAACAGCCGCTTCCCCCTTTAACTTTTCAATCAAAGTGTAAAAAAACTAATGTCTCCCTATCAGATATACTGTACATGGTGGAGTATTTTTTATAGAGCTTTAAATTAGCCTCTGATGTTTATCCTAGGCATTGCTTGCCTGTAAAGCCAGTCCCCTTTGAAATTCCCTTTACATTAAGGAAGTGCAAGCACCTTTTGCAGCTATGTATACCATATGAGATGGAGATGGTTCCCTAATTTTATTTGTTTTGGCCCTCAACTCAAAATGTACTGTCTGAGTGTTCTGTTGTGTTTTGACACTGTTGTTTTTTTTCTGATTGAAGTGCCCAGATTCAAAATCTTCTAATTTGAAGAAGCATACTACCAAATGGCTTAAAAAACCCAAAACCTTTTAATACAGACTAAGAAAATAGGATGTTTGTATTGCAGTACAGTGGTACCTCGGGTTACAGATGCTTCAGGTTACAGGTGCTTCAGGTTACAGACTCCGCTAACCCAGGAATAGTACCTCGGGTTGAGAACTTTGCTTCAGGATGACAACAGAAATCGCGTGGCGGCAGCACAGTGGCAGCGGGAGGCCCCATTAGCTAAAGTGGTACCTCAGGTTAAGAACAGTTTCAGGTTAAGAATGGACCCCCAGAACGAATTAAGTTCTTAACCCGAGGTACCACTGTAATGACACTGGACAGAAACTAAAAGGAACTAGATGATAAAGTTCAAGTGTGGACCCTGAGACATTGACCAAGTCCACACATAATGCTAAGCCATGTTTTATTAAACCATGGTTTATTAAACATTATGTGCTAACCTTGCCAATGCAGCTTGACTATAGCTTGTTTACTGCCCTCAAACGATGATCGGAAGCCATGGTTTGTTCAGAGACGGATTTAGAGCAGCACGACTGGTTCTGCTGACCTGAGCACAAAACCTAGGGGGTGCCGCAGGGCAAAACAACTATGACGTAGTGAATTGAGCAGAACAGAAAGCAAGAGGCTGGATGAGGGGGCCAAACTTTGGCCTCACACAGGGTGCTGCTGAAATTTGAAAGACCAACGTTCGTCCCTGGTTTGTTGTTGGCTAGTGAACCTTGACTTGACTTAACTATTGCATGTTGTTATGTGTGAACTCAGCGCCTTTCCTTAACCATAGTTTGTTTCTCTACCCAATCCCAGATGCATTCAGGCTTCCTCTTCCCCTTTCCCACCACACAGTCCACTACTGTTAGGAAGGCTCCTTATGAATATGGTTAAAATAGGCAAAGGTTTCCTGTGTAGGTCTTGACTAATCTGAACAAAACCAAGAAACACAGCTTAAAATCATGGGGACAGGGAGATGAGGAAAGGGAAGGGAATTAGGTAAAGCTGAAAAAGTTTGGCTCCTGCAGCAATTCAGAGGGTTGGAGCATCTGGGGGGTGGGGAGAGTAGAGGTGGAGCTGTCCAGTGAATACAAAACCCAAGGGAATGAACAAAGTGGAGACCAAAGGTCACAGCTATAGGGGAAAGACTTTCTGGTGGGCATGATATATAATACAGAAGATGATCTCATTAAGGACAGGGCTGGGAAAAGTGGGCATTACCTGAAAAAGGATTCAGGTGATGAGTTGCACTTGTTCTACCCCACCCTTCTAGTGCATTCACGTTACTCAGGGCAGCTTACGGTGATTAAAATCTAAGCAATCCCACAAAAGGAATACAGCAGCAGCTTAAAAATAGAAACCGGCTCAGCAGGTAAAAGCATTTTAAAATGTGCTGTCCACTTGATGGAGTTTCAGATGTGAATTTTGGCTCCTTTGCAGATGGATCCTATGATTCAGTGCTCCAGGGGGAAGACACATCCCAGAAATGACTCTGGGAGTCGTAAGGGAGATAGTTATTGAATATCGGTTAAAAGTGTTGAACATGGGACTGGAGGACCAGGTTTATACAACAGCCCATCCCCACTGCTACCTATGCAAAGCCTATGCACAACAGCCATTCCATTTCTTGCTTGAGATGCTCATACAGAATCTTTGCCTATGAGGTGCATGGTACCCACATGAGACCTGACATTTCCTCAATTCATCCCACCCGTTTATGGAAGAACATTACTTTCAACTAAGAATGCATATTTATTCTTTTTTTCTTAACCTCTGCTTCAGTGCATTCATGACAAGATCGTATGGGTATGTAGCTGCGTTTTAACAGTTTTTTAATTTCAGTTGTTGCTTGAAGCACTGTGCTGGAAATTAGACACTTTTAGTACTTCAATTATTGTTGATTTATTCCTCGTTCTTGTAGATACAGTGAATGTAGTTACTCAAGGAAGGTTATCTAATTTTGAATGCCAAGCACCAAATCTCAGTGTACATCTTGGCAACAGCAAGAAAGACTTATTGACTTGAAATTTGTCATGCCAGCATGAGTGCCTTGTAGCATTTTCGTTTACTGCTTTGCATTAAATGGGAGAAGACAGGAAAGAAAAAAAGCCATTTCTTTTCCAGTCTGACGCTGGACTTATCCGGGGTGCTAAATTATGTCAAGTCTTGGTTCCCAACTGGTGACCTTTGCTGAGCCCTATCTCGCCTGAGGTGAGCAGGATCTCAAGGGATCTTTCTTGAGGTGAATATGATATTTCTCTTTGTCTTTTACTTTACCTCCTTGGGTTAAATGGATTTGAATTTAGCTCAAGTTCAAGCCTCCCAAAAAAGAAAGCAGCTTGTTTTTCACTCTGAATTAGTTCACAGAAGTTTGCATTACACTAAAGGACACCCATCCTTTGGCACATGATTGCGTACATAACCATCATTCCCAGTGCAGTTCCTATGTAGCTGCAGCTTCCTGTCACTCAGCTGTCATAAAGAGCTCTGGGCTTGGGCAGGTCCATGCTACGAACTGTCCAGCTGTGTGACGTAGCCTGCCTAAATAGTTTCCCCCAATCCTAGTTTCTGTATGTCCTTTTCTTCCCCATCCTATCTCCAGGTCACAGAGGACTGATTCAAAATATTACACTAAACGGTGATATGTGTGTCAGGATGGATGAATCCCCCAATTTTGGATTCCCTCAATTTCCTCTATTCCCCCAGTCCTTTCCACCAGTTTGAGATTTACTCTCCCCCCTTTAAGTCCTCATGAAAATTAATCAGCAAATTTCTCATGATAAACATAAGCTTGTATGCAATTCCTCCCAACATAGTGTATTTTTTAATGTTCTTTTCACCAATATATGCATTTCTACACACACTTTGCCCTAGTATATGCATTTTTTTGGTACACACATCTTGGCTGGAGGACTGCGTTGCAAAATTAAGAGAAGCGCAGCTTTTGAAAGATGGATGTGTTTTTGCCCACACATTGTTTTAGTCCACATTCACACTGCACATTTAAAGCACTATGATACCACTTTAAACAGTCATGGCCTTCCCTCAAAGAATTCTGGGAGCTGCCGTTTGTTAAGCATGGTGAGAGTTTTTAGGAGACCCCCACATTCCCCTCACATTGACCATTAAACCACTATTGGAATTGCAGCTCTGTAAGGGAATTGTGGCATCTCTTAACAACTCTCAGAACGCTTAACCAACTGCAGCTCCCATAATTCTTTGAGGGAAGCCATGACAGTTTAAAGTGGTATCATAGTGCTTTAAATGTACATTCATACCTTGGGTTACGAACGCTGCGGGTTGTGCGTTTTTGGGTTGCAGACTGTGCCGAACCTGGAAGTACCGGAATGGGTTACTTCTGGGTTTTGGCGCTCGTGCATATGCAGAACCACAAAACGACATCATGTGCATAAGCATCGAATTGCGTCATGCACATGCACTGCGGGTTACGAATGCTGTGGGTTGAGAACGTGCCTCCCGCACGGATCATGTCCACAACCCAAGGTATGACTGTATCGTGTGAATGCGGCGTCAGAAAATGTGAATTAGAAAGGGCTGCCTCTGAATGTGAACTGGAACAATTTCCCCCTCATCCTCATATATGTGGCAGAAAAATATATGTGCACATGTACCAAGCCACCTAAAAGAACATCTCTCATTTGAGGGACATTTATTGCTCTCATCATCCTGAACATATTCCAATGTCTGTTTCCTAGCAGCGCATTTGTTTTCAATGACCTACCAAAAAGCATCCTACGGCTTTGCTAAATCATCCCCCAACCTCCAAATCTGGCTTCTTTGTATATGCCACATGTTTTTCATTAGCTTTTTTACTGTTTCCCCCTTCCCTTTCTGTAATAGCTGACACAAATTTTTCAATTGCCTGGGAAACAACAGCAACAACAACAACCCTGTAAGCTGTTGCAGGACACTATTAATAGGTTTGCCTCCAAGTGAATTATATATGGGTGGCATGGCACATGTTTAGTCTTTCATCCTTATCTGTTTGATCATTACTTCCAATCTGCTGTGTGAGAAATGTGACTGGCATGTTGTCTGGAGTAAATAGATGCTGCAGGTTGAGATCATTTATGCATGGCTTGAATTTTGATGAAATTTTATACTGCCTTCTGGGCTAAATATTTAACCTAAGCAATTGTCCCAATAATTTGGATGAATCAAGCCTTTTGAGATGGAAATTTTACCTTTCATTATCTCCCGTGCTGTTTACTATAAAACCTTCTGTGAGTGATAGGGAGCAAATTAAAAAAAACCCCACCTAAATTTGTTTTGGGTACTTTCCTCTCTCTTTTAGTTCTATGAGTTATGAAAAATGAAGTCAAGCGGAAGTATGGAATGGAAGGCTGCTCACTGATTCCTTTTGAAATAGAGGTCTCCAGCTGTTTTTGACTACAACTCCCATCATCCCTAGCTAGCACAACCAGTGGGAATTGTAGTTCAAAACAGCTGAAGACCCAAGTTTTGGAAACCCTGCTCTACGTGAAACATTCCCCACAAGGAAAAGCAGGCTAGAACATTTTGTCCTGACGTGCTTGCTTTCTGTTTGCAAGGGTGTTGGTTAGTGGGAGAACATTATAATGTTATAATCCCCAGCCTGAAGTAGGGTCTCATTTCCACTTCATTCTGCTTCATGTACAGACCCAACCTAAGAGGATGGTCTCCTGTTCTACACCAAATGAATTTGACCCAGAACACTCTCCCATGGCTATATATTGCAGAGAAAACCAGGAAACAAACAGACTCTTGTGTCCACCATTCCCAAATGCCTTAGTGACGATGCTCTGATAGGTTTCTGGTGGATATTAAATCCCTGAGGAAACATTTTTTGAAAACCGCTGTCTTAAATGGGATTTCAATGTCCATTGCAATTCTTATCTGATCCATCCTCATGGTAACCCTGTGAGATAGTTCATTATCTGCCCCATTCTCTTGCCGAAGAAGTCAAGGACGGGCCTGGATCTGAGCCACAGTTTCTCATGCTTTCTCTCAGCAACACTCTGTCAATTATGCTCTCTTTTCCAAGCTGTTCTCTACATTTATGCAAGCTCACAATTGGTTCTGCATGCAAATTGGGATTTACATAAGAAGCAAAGCCCCTTTTACATGTGTCGACACACAAAATATCAGACACAGACGTGCATGCAGGTCATTGATTTTTTCACCTACCATTCACTGCTAGAAATGCTTTTTGGAATACGTGGGCATAGTTGCTTTGCTATTTAATTAATTGGCAGTGTGTCTGCTTCTTTCCTTTCCTTTCTTTTTTTTTAATAGGAAGTCTTTACGCCAGAAGCAATGTTTGAGATACTGGGAACATAAGCAATTAGCAAATTATGGTATGTTTAAATGAAAATAGTTTCCTGGCCTAGTACAATGAAGAAGGCTTGCAGCCATGTTGTTTCTTCATTAAACAAAATGACAAGGTAGCAATAAGTATCTCCTATAGTATAGACAAAATTAATGACACAGCAATCATATGATAAATCATCACAGTTGGTGTGTTCTGCAGCAGAAAAACACAGTTTTGTGTTCCCATCACACAACCACATATTGAATTTCACAGCAGGTGTGAAGCAAATCAATGTCGGCATTGACTACAATTAGAGTGACTTTTCTTTTTTAAAGCATTACTAAAAGGAATCCTAAAAGATTCCTTTTATGAGTGTGGGGTTGGGGGGGAGAAATACATTCACTATACAATATTTTTTAAAAAACTTTTTCATTTCTCACCACTTTATGGAATAGGCAGTGCTCCTTGCTTATTCTGGTATTCTTATTTATTCATTCATTCCGGGGACACTTTTATTAGGAAAAAATGTGGAGTAGTTGCTCCAGGCAGCAGATTCCAAAAGGGACGCAATTTTCCTGCCCCAACCTCTCCCATTTTAAAAATGAGCAGAAGCCTGGGGACGATTTTATTTTAGCTTTTCACTTCTGGTATTATTGTTGTTGTTATTGCAGGCAACTCCTCATTTGCAAGGGGGTGGCCTTCCTGGCCCCCACACATCAACAGAACATGCATAAACCTACCCCACCCCATTACGCCCCCAACCACTTCCATAAACCCCAGCCCCATTCTGCCCCATTTTCCGGTTACTTCAGGGTCTGTGGTGATGAGCGTGTCTGTGGTCGTCAATCGGATGCACGTAAAATGGTCTCTGCTTGTATTAGTAATAGTAAAAAAAAGATAAAGGACCCTTGGATGGTTAAGTACAGTCAAAGGCGACTATGTGCTAACCTTTTTCTGCCCCTCCCTCTCTGTCCAAGAGCAGTGATTCTGGCGTGGTGCTTAGATTTCCATCCTCCACTATGTGCAAGTTTGGTATTAATCAGTGCTCGTAAGATTAACTTTCCTTTATATTTGTTAACTGTGATTATTCTGAGGGAGACAGCATGCCCAATCGATCATTAGTCATTTTTAGGATACTGTTCTGCCGGACTCTTTCTCCCTGTGTGAATTTTTATGTCCATTAAAACATGTCTATATGTAACTTTATTGTTTCTGACACCTAAATGTGTAGAATTTATTCTTATGAGCTGGAAGCGGTCGTTCAGCTCTGACATTTTAAGTATGACAATAATCCAAGTAATTGTCACTCATTCACTTAACTGGAGACATGTTTACTTCCTGAGAGAACTAATTAGAGTACAGTGTTACTATCTTTTAATTGCAAAAAGTGTTTGCTTTTGTTTTCAGTTTTGCATTATGCCACTGTTCTTCACAGCTCACGAACCTTAAAGAATCTTTTCGTAAATGACACTCTACTGCCACCTTCTTTGTCCCTAGAACTCTTTGATATCTGGTGGAATCTCAGTATTCAAACATCGTTCATCCAATTAGCTGAGCTTCCTCTGTTTGCCAGCTAGTCTGAGATGTTTGAAAAATTCAGTCTTTCCGAATTCTTATATGAAATGACCTCATCTGCACTGCTTGCATTAAACTGTGGATCAGAACTTCAACATCCACTGGATGTCACACTTCTCCAAATGTTGTGATGCAATTGTTGTCAGTTTAAATATATCAAAATATGCATTTAAGTAAAAATGATGAGAGAAAAACACACATTTAGATGATATTGTGGGAGAAAACAAATATAAATACATATTTTTGAGGATTTTTTAAAAATATAAAATGGCTGAATAATGAAGACCAGAATTTTGAGTAAAAGGATGCAAAAAGTGATATTGACTAGAAATAGGTACACAGTATCCACTCATCCCAGATCTAGTCTCACTGCAACATCACTCTGTGGAAGCAGTATCATAGCTCTCCTAGACAGTATCCAATGTATACTTACTCAGTAAATCCCATTAAACTTTTCTAAGTAAATAGCACAGGCTGCTGAAATTCCTGATGTTTGATACATTGCTCACACCCAATGCAGGTTTTTGGGGTTTGTTTTTTTCTGTTGGTCTTAATATGTTTTAGTGATGTGCCACTCAAATTATTATTTTTTTGCATCCTGAAACAGAGTCTTTCATAAATCATTCAATGGGACTATGACTATTAGAGTCCAGAACTGTAGAAATAATGACACTTTGTTTATTACCACATTTTTTGGTTCCATCCTTCTTTCAAGGGAACAGTAGTGTTTAAGTCCTAAATGACTTAGGCCCCAAATACCTGAAATACTTCCTTACTTTCAGACCCCCTTGCGTATTAAGATAGGCAGAGGGGCTCTGTTGGTAGTTCCTACAAACTCAGAAGCTTGGTGTGTGTGTGTGTGTGTGTGTGTGTGTGTGTGTGTGTTCAATCCAGGGCTAGGTGTAGATGAGGTGGGCCCCTGCCAGGAGCACAGGCAAGGGGGGGGGCACAAAATTGGCTAAGAATATGTCTATAAATAAAAATATCAAGTGAAGTGCATGAGGAATTGAATGGGTGGAGGGGGGTTGGAGGAGAGGCAGAAAGAGCTCATTTGTTCATGGTTAGGGGGTGCAATCTGGACGGTTCTGCCAGGGGTGCAAGATCACCTAGAGACAGCTACAGCTCTGATGCAATCTGGAAGAGTGGCAGCCTGTAAATTGTGGAACACCCTCCCTACAGAGGTGTGTCTGGCATCTTCATCACACAGTTTTCAGCAAATACAGAAGGCACAGCTCTTTACCCTGGCTTTTGACACTTTTAAGATTTACACTTTTAGGTCCCACCTTATATCAGTGATTGTACGTTGTTCTAAATTGTTTTAACATTGTGTTTTAATTGTTGTCACAATTAACCTGGGACCTTAGGTTGAAGGTAAATAAGAATCATGGTAATACCCTGGATTTTCCCCAAAACTGCTGTGTGGTCGAGCTAGTGAGAGGCCCAAAGTTATCCAATGAGCTTTGTAGTTGAGGAGGGATTTGAAACCGAGTCTCTACAGATCCAGTTCAATTCTCTGTCCACTGCATGGAACTGGTTGCTGGAAGCTGTTGAATCTGCCCCTTGCAGGAACCTCTTGACAATACATGCTCCTTGAAAGCATTTCATGAGAATGCAAACACACTCCTGAAATGCAAGATTAATATCTCGTAATCAGGCTCGGTTCTCCAACCTCAAGGAAGGTATTTTCCCAAACAAACTATGAGAGCAGCCGGCATTTATTTCACTGAAACTTGTGTGGGTGTACTGCTTGAAGAGATGGGCTGCTGGAGTGATTATTTTTACAGCCCTCTAACTCACTCTACACTTCCTCCCTACTATTAAGAGGTCAGCAATTTGGAGACAATATGAAAAGCACATGAAAAGATTCCAGGAAGCATAAATGGGTTTGCTTCAGTTTCTGTGGAACAAGCCCTTTAAAATAAAAAAAAGAGCACGAGTAACTCGATTAAAGGCAATTGGCACATCAAAGCATGGAAGATACAGTGAATACACTATTAAACATCATGAATTAAGTTTTCTTTGTATCATTATGCATATCTAAGCTGCTTGGCTCTAGCTAATTCAATAAGGAGTCAAATGTCCTGATTTCGTTTCAAAAGCGGCCAGCGAACCATCGCTAGGATAGATCCTAATGCACTAACAGGGCAATGCAATCCTATGCATGTTTATTCAGACGTAAAGCCCACAGTGATTAATGGGCTTTACCACCTAGTAAGTTTGTTTAGGACTAGAGTATTACTGATTTTTAATATATAACTTTAAAGAGGAGGAAATAGGAGTGCTGGCTTCCCGTACCTGGCACCCTCCAAGATGTTACTGGATTGTGGCTCCATCTGCCCTCCTGACCATTAGCCATGCGGTCTAGACCTGATGGCAACTGGAGTTGCGGATGGAGGAAGCAGTCAGTTTCTCTCAGTTTCTCATTTTTTCCAGATTTAAGTTCAATCCTCTACATTTGCAGATCAGTTTGCGGATCATTTTAAAGAAGGTCTCATGAAAATGAATTAGCATTTTACTGCGAATTTCTCCTAAGATGCACGTTTACCCCTAATATAATGCATTTCATGTTCATGAATATATGCGTATTTATGCATACTTTCCCTTAGTATAACCTTTATTTGGTGCACATTACTGACTGGAGAACTGCATTACAAAATATTTTTTTTTAAATAATATTTTAAATTCAATTTTCAAATTTTACCAATTCTTTAGAAATACAATCCGAACAAATCTCTCATATCTGTTGACCCTTCCAAGGTGCTCTTTTATTCCCTTATAAAGCTGCTATGTTACTTACATTTTATCCATTACAGTTGTACCTTGGTTCCCAAATGACTTGGTACTCAAACAACTTGGAACCCAAACACGGCAAACCCAGAAGTAAGTGTTCCGGTTTGCGAACTTTCTTCGGAAGCCAAACGTGTTTTGAGTGTTATGCTGAGGTCTGTCTGTTTTTGCTATGTGTTTTGCGGTTTTGTTTTTGCAGCTCTTTTCATTTTGTTTTTGTGACTATGTAACCCAGTTCAGTCACTGATTGACTGACTGATTGTGTGAATGATTAAATTGATTGATTGTGTGAATGCAGTACCTTGTTTATTGCTTTCATTTTATGGATCTCATTAGATAGTAAAATTCATGTTATATTGCTGATTTAGGGGCTGTTTTTAAAAGTCTGGAACAGATTAATCCATTTTGCATTCCTTTCTATGGGAAAGCGCGCCTTGGTTTTGGAACGCTTTGGTTTTGAAACGGACTTCCGGAACGGATTAAGTTTGAGAACCAAGGTACCACTGTATAGACATTAATTCTAAATTATTAAACTATAAATTATCATTTCTTGCTATACTTCAAATCCTGCATACGTTTTAACATAACCATGATATTTTTTTCTTTTTTCTTTTTATAAGATATTTATTAAGGTTTTTTTGAAATATTACAGTAAAAATGAAAAAGAAAAGAGAAAAATACAAAAGAAAAACAGTTAAGAACACACATATTTTCTATTACTTATTTTCCTTTAGCTTGTTTCCCGGACCTCCTCGTACCTCCCTTTTTTGTATTCCACTTCAATTTATTGGTTCAGCAAATCCTTAACATTAGATTTTAACCCATTTATAACCCTTTTTTCATATTCTCTTAGAGCATTACAGCTAGAAACCGCTTAATTACTATCCAACATCATTCTATCATTCATTAATTTTACAATATTTCTGTAAATAGTCTTTAAATTTCTTCCAATCTTCTTCCACCGACTCTTCTCCCTGGTCTCGGATTCTGCCAGTCATTTATGCCAATTCCATATAGTCCATCACCTTCATCTGCCATTCTTCCAAAGTGGGTAGATCTTGTGTCTTCCAGTACTTTGCAATGAACCATGATTTCCCCCCCCCCAATTATTCCACAAAATATTTCCATTCTTCAAGAATTTTTTTCTCATTTTGTTCTCTAATTTTCACAGTTAGTCCAGTTATCTCAGCATACACCATCGTGCATTACAAAATTCAAAGAAGTGCCAATTTCAAGCGGGAGCTGTGCTTTCGTTTGAGTATTGTTTCAAAAGGCACAAATTTAGGCAGTTTCAGCTTTAAATGCAAACTGAATTGCATCTCTCTGCCCATTTCTAGTTAGGAGTCCAAAGGCATCTGCAGAGCAGGAGGTTGGGAAAGGCTCCATCGGTGTATCATAATTCATAGGATTCATTCAACAGTTCTTGCCTTATTTTCCTGCAATGATTGTTCTTAGGGCAATCTGAGCCTATTCTTTCCAGGTCCCTCCACTTTCCTTCTTTGCGCTGGGAAATTTGGTGTCGCATTTGACCTCCAATAAATGCCACGAGGAACTCTTGACATGTGCAGTGGTACATTTCATGACCCCCACATACAGAAGGATGTATAAATCACCAAGGGAGTGTCCCCCCTCTTTCCTCTGTATTTCTTCTTCCACTTCAAGAATGTGCTGAATCAAAAGCCCTGCAAGGAAAGAAAAAGTGTTCTATAGCTTTGCTGAATGAAAATGGAATGTATATTGACAGCAAAATAAAAATAAAATATGGTGCCCTTCCTTTTTTTAAAAAAAGGAATGCATTTTAGAAAGAAAGAAAAAAGGCTCTGGGAACCAAGTCTGAAGGGCAAGGGCAAAAAGTTTTTGTAAGCTCCTTAGAATCACATTCATAGCTGAGTTTCCCTTTCATTATTTTCTTTTTGAAAGAAATATTTCAAAAAACAAATAAACTCAAAAACTTCCTCTTTTATAGGAAATTATAGCCCAGTTTGCATGATGGTGTCTTAACAAATAGATATAAGAAATATCAACTCCAATATTAATAATATTACTTAATTTGTACTATTTTAGAGTGTCATCTACATGGTCACATGTAGATGATTAATACAAGACTGCTGTATACCATAACCATAAAATATTTCCATGAAATAATGAACAGATTGATATCTCTTGCATTTGCCACTGCTACAATATGATAACATTTCCAGAAGATACAAGAGAATGTTCCCATAATCTGCCTATGTGCTTCCAGGCCAAATTCAAGGAGTTGATGTTTGAAGTCAAATCCAGTTGAGTTCAACAAACTAGCACTTAATGTGATTATAGACTAGACTGTAGGGGACTTGCTCTTTGCCACACACCAATCAGAACTCGGCTTCAGGAAATCATTTCAGGTAAAGAGGTGATTGCATCTAATGCCAGATGTCCTGTCTGGGCAGGAAGATCTGAATTGAATAAATGTTTTCCTAGATTGGTCATTGATGCCAAGGTCATATAAATGCAGTTAGAGGCACTAAAATGGAAATGGGGAATTTTTGAACTACATTTCCCATCATCCCTGACCAGCCAAAGGTGATGATTGGGATTAGAATTCAGCAACATCTGGAAGGCAAATGATTCTATATATCTTTCGAAGGGAGAATACAATAAGTGGGATCTGCAACAAACTATTGCAGTTAGGGGTGGGGGAGAGATTTGATTCAGTTCACATTTAAGGTCAAATTTATGAAAGCCACACTTTCCAGCCCAAAAACACAGCCATCCTTTGAAATTATCTTAATTTTGTGATGCAGTTCCCCAACGAACCAGTGTTTACAAAAATTCACATTCTAGCTAAAATGAACATATTAATGAAAACAGCATACCCAAATGTGTTATGTCGGGAGCAATTGCTTGCAAAAATACATACAATAGCCGAAACACAAAAATGCATTTATTAGGGGAAATTTGCACTGAAACACTGATGAATTTTCATGGGGGGGGTTTAAGAATAAAATTTGCAAATTGCTGTGGAAATGTGGAGAATCGAATTTAAGACTGAAAAAATGAGAAACTGGTAGAACCAAAATGGGCAGATCCTTTCATCCCTCAGCCACCTGAATTCGCTAATGAAACAAGCAGGAACTGCAATCAAATGTTGCATTCTGGAGTACTAGGGGTCAGGATTCCAGCCACTCCTTTCTGTCCTCCCTGCGCTGAATTTTCTGTTTTTTTCCACCATTACATGGCCATTGTGTATATTCAGTTCAGAGTCAGCTGTTTAGGAGGGACCCCCAATAGATTTCCCCAAATCCTTTTTGTTCTTCTGCAAATCGTGGGCTTCCTCCAAGGGCACTGATACCTCCCTCTTGTGTACTGAGGTGGCATTCTGGCTACATGATCGAAAAGGTCTCATAGTCTGAGAACTGGAAACAGAGGAAATGGTGATGCTATTCGTTTCTAAACTACCGGGGTAATATTGTATTGAAGCACAGGACAAAGTTCTGGGCTTTGAGGCTTTGTTTGTAAGGAAGCAACTCCCCAAGAGCAGTCAAGCAAGCTTGTGCATTGTCTGAATACCATAAATACAGCCAGTATCTATTGTGTCATATCACAAGCAAACAAAAAGAACACTGCATAAAGGCTTACACAGTTTCCTCCCTCTTCGCCTTTAATGCAGGAGACCTGATTTCTGTAAACAACCCCCTAAAGGTACTCTCTACCAATCACAACCCACTGCAAAATAGATAAGGTTCTCATTATGTATCCACCATGTCTTGATCGTAATTTCTATCATGGGTGACATTCTGGTCCAGTTCTATCAGGTACATTCTGTGTGAGTCCTTTAGAATACTGTGATAAAACCCTGCTGAATATAGGATCATTTTGCCTTAGGGAAAGAGAGAGAGAGAGAGATTGTGTGTCAAAGTGCGCACAGTTCAAGGTGGATTTCTCATCAGATTTTGCAGTGCTGGGACATGTTAAAAAGATTTTTTTAAAAAAAATCAGAGTGGTTCAAAAGGAATTAAATCTAGTTTTCAATGGCTGGATTTTCTTCAGAGCCATCAGCCCAAATTACACTCTGAAAGAGTTGACTAACTACAATAGCTCACTATAAAATGGAGAAGAAAAACTTAACGCTGGCATTCCATGATGCATTTTAGAGTAGTGAAATTTTTCCAAGCCCATTTATCTTACCAATTGAACTTTCCCCGCTAAAGAGATACATTGAAAAGAGTTTTAAGAATAGCAAAATCTGTCATTATTCAATTGATTCTTAATAACATTTGTATCTCCTCTGATAGAGGCTCCCTCTTTACTTATTGAATACTTCTTAATAAAATAGCACTATTGTCTCCATTTTGAGAGACACGTCACAAGAAACATGGATAAGATTTGCATTTAAAAGCTTGCACAATTTGCTCAAATAAATTATTCCCCCTGAAGATTTGTTTCTCCCACCTACCAACAGCAAAATACTATGTTGAGCATGGGTGAAACCAGTGTTAATGTATCTGACAATGGTTAGAGTTCAATACAAATAGAACATAGCGCCGTGGACTCTAGGTTCTTTGACATTTCTCCAGTATTAGAACACCACATTATTTAAATGTACTTGGAAATGTGCCTGGTTTTGATTTCAAGGCTGCTAATTAGGCAGAACCAAACTCATTGAGTATTCTGTTCCAATATTTAATTGCATTCACTATTTTTATTTTATTTTACAAACTTTACAATCTAAACTTTACGCTTAAAAATGAGAGCTGCTGTAGCATAGTGGCCTGGAAAGTGAGCTAAGAAATGCCAGTTCAAATCTTTTATCAGCCACCAACTCATGGGGTGACTTGAAGCAAGTCAGTTTCTCAGCCTTAGCCCCTCAGTTGCAACAGAGTATTGACAATTGTGACCTATCTGATAAGGTTGTTGCGAGAATTTATCTGAGATAATATTTATCTGTTTGCTTGTTTTATTATCCGTTAAAGGAATATATATGCTGCCTTTCATTTCAAGAAGAAATACCACAAACACATAAAAGCAAACAGCAAAATAGCAAGTAAAACTGAATTAGGGGCTGCCACACAAACTGCAGCATGATGGCATCCTTACAGTTTTATTATATAGTAAGCTATATTAAAAATGCTGTGGAAATATATGCAGTCTCCAGAGTTGGAAGCAATCTTTCAACAGCCGTCTCTTAAGTTCCAGATAGGATAGCAGAGAGATAATTCTTTAGTAGGTGAGCAGCCTGCTGCATATCCACAATTCAGGAGAACTTATTGAAGAACCTAGGCAGAAACTACCAAAAAGAACATAGGAGGCAGGGGATAAGATTACTCTACACAAGCAATGTGGCTATATTACAGTAGAAAGGGGAATGTCGACAGTAGCGAGACTTGCTAACTTCAGTGGGTTCTTCTGCCTTTGTTGTCACGTAAATAAAATAAGTATTTTATTTATTTGGTTAAATTTTTAAAAACATTTATTCAAAAGTTACAATACAGCATTCTCAATGAATATATCGCCACATATGCATTTTTAAAAATGGTTTCTTTTTCCATCTCTGGAAGTTAACAAAGGTGACCAGAATTCTGGCTATCATGGCCTAGCTAGCTATCCCAGTGATGTTTTCTTCACAGAATTGCTCTACTTTTGCTGTAAAGTTCCAACTAATAGTGAGGGGATCTTTCATAACAAGCAATTCCAGAGTCTCTTCCCCGGTGCCCTGCAAGCAAAGATGTGCTTTTCCTTCACGTTGCAGCTGGTGTTTGAGTGAATAATCATTTCAGGATTTCAAACAGTATTTAGTCTGGAGGAAGATGGAAATTCCCCCCCTCTAGATAAAGCAAATGTCCTTGGGGAGATAGTCTGTGTCAAGGTAGGGAAGGTACAACATACCATATTCAAGGGATTCTCAGAGCAGAAGCAAGTCTGCTTATTGTTGTTCTTTCCCCTTCTTTTCTACAGAATGTTTCGCCGTAATTTTTTTAAAAAATGAAAATGGGGAAATTCTGTAGATGGTTTACCCCCCTAGGATATTTCATTTTGTGTGTGTCTGGTTGCCTTAAATTGGAAATGTGTTTATTGCTTTGTTGCATCTACAAGCCTCTTTCCTAGTACTCGGTACTACTTTAATTCCCTAAATAATATGTTTACCATTAGAGGTGTTTCCTGATCAAGGTCAAAACCATCTGGCCACTTAAGTGTGTTGCACCCAACCTTCTTGCATCCAATATCTGGTGGACTCAGTCTTAAAGAAAATTCAAAGAAACAAAAAAGGAGAGAATTTTAAATGGATTCTATAGCTGGTGAGTTTTTGTGCTGTGTGCGTGCACACACATACGCACATTGATACATGGTTCACTGCATCCTACAGCATTCAAACATGGGTGCAAATGTTTCAGTCTGCCATCTTTATTCAAAATGACACTCAACACCAAAACATCAAAGAAGACAGTCACCTTCACCTCATGCTGAGTCGGGTGGCAATATTTCAAGAGGCGTTCAGGTTGGTGCAGTTGCGACTCATCACACCAAATTCGGCAACGGTGTCTTCAGGGCCATCCACATTGGAGCAGGCTGGCCCCATGATGCCAAATTTAGTGAAGGCCTTCCAGATGGTGTAACAATATCTTCAGTGGCTTCCAGATCAGAACACGTTGGACCTGGTGTGCCAAAAGTCATGCCAAAGTCACATTTTGGTCTGCCATCTTTATTCAAAATGGCACCCATGATTCAAACACTCCCACCGCAGAAACCCTTGTGCTAATTTTGGCAACAATATCTCAAGAGGCAGCTGAATCTATCAAAAATGGAAAAAGCACTTTCTGAAATATATAGTAGAAGGTTTTCTCCAAAGTTGGTAGGGAAATATATTTTTATTTAGACAGGCCTTCAGATCAGACCATAAGCTGATTTGAAAACGTGTTGCAATTGGTTTCTACTGCCTGTTTTATTGTTTTCAATTATGCTTTACCTGACTTGTTTTTATTATTTTTTTACTTGCATTTTTATTGCTTTTTGAGGGAACTCCCTGGGAGGGTATGCTGACGGACTGCTGGGTGCTGAAAACTGCCCTTTCCACCTGTACAGGCCTGCCTGCTAAGACAGAAAATCACTTGTTCTCTAGGGAAGGGAAAGAAAATTGGTTCAGTTTGCATTTTAATGAGAACCTACCTAATTTGCACTTCCGCCCAAAAATTCATGAACAATGGCTTTTAATTCAGTCTATGACTGATTTCATCACTGTTCTATGAAAATCAAGAGAGTTGTCAGCCATCACTATTATCTCATGTATGTTTCATGGACATCAATAAACTTCTAGCTTCTCCAGTCTTTCATTTTAGAAAAGGTGGGTAAAGAAGAGCTAGCATCATATGCCTGCCATTGCACCTTGGAGATGTTTCAGCTACAAAAAATAAATAAAAAATCTCCATTTTAGGTCCACAGGTGCAAGCATCCCTCCCCCACCATGTTCTCAGTTGTTCCTGTATAATTCTACTTTAAGATAATTGAGTTGTCCAAGTGTAACTGAGGGCAGAATTTCTCCTTCAGGATCTTTAACAGAGTTGATGAAATATGAGCTAGAAATAACACAGCTTGAGTTTTAGATTCCATGCTGAGTTTACATGCCTAGCATTTAGGGCGGGGTGGGGGGGAGATATATACTCATAAATTGAGAAAATGCACTCTGGAACTCATTGGGATTCGGTATATATTGTGCTCCGTGATATCAGTTTTACAGGCAATGTCCCCCTCCCCAGTCCATTTGCACTTGAAGCATTATTTGGTGGCTTGACTCTTCTGTTTTTCAGCTCAGCTTGATTTGCATTCTAACAGGGCATCTTTAGTGTCAGATCCTTCAGCATTCTTCAAGTCAACAGATGTAAGCCTTTTTAAGAAATTGGGCATAGTCCATGTCATAGCAGTCTCTAGGTCATAATCAGCAATCTGCCTTGGGCAACTAAGGAATCATGCATTCCTGATACCCAGCAGCAGTTCAGGAGTCTAACCACAGTGCTCTGGATCAAATGCAGTTTCCCAACACTTCTCAAAGACAATTCCATACACAATACATTACAGCAAAGAGGGACGTGGGTGGTGCTGTGGTCTAAACCACTGAGCCTCTTGGGCTTGCCGATCGGAAGGTTGGTGGTTCAAATCCCTGCAACGGAGTGAGCTCCCATTGCTCTGTCCCAGCTCCTGCCAACCTAGCAGTTCGAAAGCACGTCAAAGTGCAAGTAGATAAATAGGTACCACTGTGGCAGGAAGGTAAACGGCGTTTCCATGAGCTCTGGCTTTCATCACATTGTTCTGTTGCACCAGAAGCGGTTTAGTCATGCTGGCCACATGACCCAGAAAGCTGTCTGCGGACAAACACCAGCTCCCTCGGCCTGAAAGTGAGATGAGCGTAGCAACCCCATAGTCACCTTTGACGAGACTTACCCATCCAGGTATCCTTCACCTTTACCTTTTACATGCAACTAAGGCATGCTGTGGCAGATATGACATATCAAGGGATGGACAAAGTACCCACAGCAGCCTAAGCCATGCAAAGGCACCCCAGCCACAATGGCCACCTACACCTATACCTGTTACCACCTTGCTTCATCCAGGTAAACAGCAGTGACCCCATTATGAAGAGGATGAGTCTGGGCTACTTCTATGTGCATTTAGAGGTCTCCTCTCCCTGCATCTGGTGCTTCCCTTTAACTCACCCACCTCCTTCCTCTAACATCTGACAGCTGCTGTTCTCTGGCCCATCCAGTGGTGGTGCAGGATCAGTTCCTCTCCTGACCAGCCAGCATGCACTGGTGATGCTCTCTCAGGTCAGCCATAGCTCGGCTACTTGATGGGAGCGGTGCTCATTTTCCAAGCTTGCGTTGGCAGTATTCACCCCTGTGATACGTGAGAAGCCCTCTGTTACAAAGTCAGAAGGGACAGAGCACACCATTGTTCCTTCTTTTTAGAGGGAAAGATTTGTGCATGTCAAGAAATTGGGTTAAATAAATAGGGATCAGTGTGCAGAAAGCACTGGTTATTGCGTGTCTTCATAGGATACTTTTAAAAACAGTAACAGCAGCAGCAGCAGCAATCCCCGCATGCTTCAATAGCAAGACCTTTAGGCTTTTTGAATGTTCAAAGTACAGCACCAATATAAAAATAATGCTACAAGTGTGTTGACATCCTCCTTGGCAGCCTGAGCTGCTTAGTCATTTTAATCAATGGAGATATGCACAACAGTTAGAAGTTTCCAAAGGTCAAAGAAGCGACTGTCTTTTCAGCTTTGAATCAGCAAAGATTTTCCAGTTTCTTGCAGACATAATGCCAAGCTTGCATCTGTGCGCCTGCCTTTTTTCTTTGCTTTGAAGAAGCAGAGTAATTAACTAAAGGGCAGATCACACCACATTGAGCAGTAAATGATTGCACAGTGCAACTTCCTTTCTGCTTTCTCTCTCCTATGACAGCCAGTTTCAGAGCAGCTCTCAGGCTGGTTTATATATAAAAATGGGCCAATGAGCATCATAGAACCATTAAACACTTAACTCATTGATTGTGAAACAAAAATCTATACAATAGCGCTGGCACAATTATTCCCTTCTGAAATGGGCCTTGTTGCTAATACAGAGAACAAATAAGCTATGTAATTAAAGAGATCCTGAACTCTTCCAAAAGGTTTTTTTTTGTATGTGTGCTTTTGCATCATTATCAGCATTAATTAATTTGTTTCGGGGTTTTAAAACTGTGGTGGCTTAATTTTTAACCAACGGCAAATTTTGTTGTGAGAGTGCCACTTAAAACCTTTAAAAGATCAAACAACAGCTGACTAGCCAAAGCTTCCCAATGTTATCTCTCGTTTTATGATGAACAATCTTCTATCGACTGCTTTTTATAAGTGCCCTTTTATAACTGGCTTGCATTGGTGAAATCCTCATTCATTTATTTTATTACTACCATTAATTATAATTTTGAATGTTAGTTTTGTAGGCATGAAGCTCTATATGCATTGATGGGGCCTCCAGCTCCCCTCTTCAACAGCAAGCAGCATGGCTCTCCTGATCTCCCTCCATCTGCATTGCTGCTGCACACCACGAAAGAACAAGCTGTATGGGCAAAGTGGCAATGAGGTCAGCATGATGCAAGTGCATCAACAGGAACACCAGATTGGCTCTTTCAGCACACTTGCCCCATGCAACCTTGCTGCCACCTCTCCTTCTCCTTCTCTGTCCCAGTCTACAGCAGCATTGCAGTCAGATGGAGGTCAGGTGAGCAGCATAGCCTCATCATACCAGTTCCTCTTCCTCTTGATGGTTTCCTTCTGTCCTTCTGCATACTGCTAAGTGTCACACAATGCATTTTCAGGCCTTGATGGTTTGGTTATCCTTGGCAGCCACCTTTGTCAGTCGCCTAAGAACAGGCAAAGGGCATCTCAGATGTAGAGTTTACCTTCCATGTAGGCGAGACCCTTGACACCTCTCTTTCTGTAATTAGCAATTCCTTGTTCTGTTCTGTGCCCTAAATACAATTGAACAGACTACTTCAAATACAAAGCAGTGTTGGGTTGTCAAATAGGCAGAGTTGGCACTGGCCTATGGGCCCCATGCCATGTAGGGGCTCCACAACAACAGATCAAAATAATAATGATTTGATACTGAAAGAAAATTACAATTAAGCTTTCTTAGTTCAATGTTATCTCACTAGAGTGCGTGCACAAGCCCACCTCACCCACTTCCAAGATTTCGACTGCCTAGGGACCTCCACAGGGTTTAATCCAGCACTCAGCACTGATACAAAGTATATAAGGCATTGACAAACAATGTGCACATTCATATTTATGGTAAGAGTCCATTGTGTTTGACTATGTTCATTGCATTGTCTTTCCTATCTCTGCCATTGCAGCTGCCATCCTGCGGTTGAAACCAGAGTGTCCACAAGCATCACAAAGCACCTCTACTTTGGTGTATATGCCATCATTTCTGAACTTGGAAGGGGACACTGGTATTCCTGGGATCTGTGGTCTATTATGCTGCTAGTAGTTTTGCTCTGGTTTGCCCGACTGTATCTTCATTATTTCAGCCAGTGGGTCTTACTTCATGCTATTTCAGTTCCTGTCACAAAGTAAGTATGGAAATGAAGTTACGTTTTGGAAAACATAGCACTATGCTACATAATGTCACAAAAAAAGAAGCACAATAATGTTTGCATCACCTTTGGGTCTATAGACAACCAGCCATTTACTTACTTACTTCTCATTCATTTGGTTAATTGTGAAGATTGGAATGGTGGTGTGGACTATCTGTGAAAGCTGACAGCAGATATATCTTATAGGTATCTCATTCAGTCTCTGTCTTCTTCCCATGCTACTGAAAGGAAGACTAGCCAATAGGCAAAGAGCTTAAAACCAACCCCTTATGGTCCGTTCTGAAACACACTTTCAGGCAGAAAATCCTATACTTGATGTTTTGATATCTTTCACAGTTCTGGATTTTTTCTCCCTTTGGTCATGACTTTTGGTAAGTGTCATGACCTTGGGGCCAGACTCTCCTAATTAAGGGGATGAGACCAGGTATTTGGAATGAGAATGGGAATTGCCCTCTGGTCCAGCCCTAGGTGTACAAGCAAAAGTACTAGTACCTCTCCAGCCTGAGGAAGTCCTCTGACTCCAGCTTAGAAGCGCTAGTGGAACCACAGTCTCCGCCACTATGTCAGAATCAATGACTGCTAACGTAGCTGGGTCCCTTTAGTTCCTTTCATGGAAGATGAATCTGGCTACTGAGATAAAGCTGCAGCTCCTACTTAAAGTTCAGTTTGACTATGACTGCTGCTGAAGCAGTATTTCAACTCTGCAGCCCAAGACTTGCATGGAGCTGTCCAGGGTTTCCACTGAAACCTTGCCTTGCAGGGTCACAACATATCACTGCTCAAAACAGAACAATAGGACCACAGCTCCCATCGATCAGAATGTCTTCATGTCAAGGCTTGGGAGATAAATTTACTCACTCTGCTAAGAGAGGGGTAAAAGACATGCCTTCTGAAAGAGCACTAGATACCTACATGGCCCCCACTGATTTCCAGGACATTTTTTCTGAGTGTGCCTTAAGAGGCATGTGTGTGTGTTAAAAAACCCCCACCCAAATTCTGTTCAGTTATGATTGCATAACAAATCCAGAGTTGTATCGGTGTTCCTCCACCTATAGGAGGTTCTTTGTTCCTGAGGATGCATGGAGTGAAAACACAGAGTTGTGATTTCTGTAACATTCCCATTCTCCTGTGTCACTTTCAATGTCATTCTGAAGCTCCCCCAGCCCTCATAAGCAGACAAGAGGCCTGCAGAGGGAGAAATCACATTCCCCTTCCACTCTGCTGGATCAAAGCAACCTTTCATCACTGGAGAGGCACAATGAAATACATCTTTTGGCTGCTTTCTTATTAAAATGCACAACATGAATAATTGTGTAAGTGATGTATACCCATCAAGTAGGATAACCTACCTGTCTCTCGAACCCTCTGCTCCCTCTTTTATTTCTAGATTCCAGTTCTATCCTCATACAGTGGATTTGTGCTACCAGAACTCTTTGGTACGCACTAGTGAAGAGTTGGCCATGATTGTGGTGGGACCTTTGACCTTGAACACAGTGATGCTTCTTATGGTTCTGATGAGATGGGGCTGTCAGCTGTTGTTTGGCTCATTCCCTTCTTACTTGTCAAAGCTGATCATTGCTTGGGGACTGTGGACAATGCTAGACCCTTTGGCAGTGTTTGTAGTGGATGCCTTCCTGGGGGTAAGTCACTTAAAATAACTTTGATATGAGTCCTTGATGTAAAAGTTTGTTTTCTTCAATGACTCATCAAATGATATGAAATTCCACCCCTGGCGACAGCATACAAAAGTCGTCTTCTTTTCCCCCAAAAAATAAAAAATTAGAAAATTTTATGTTATTAATCACAGTTTTGATGGTAAGACATATGATCTCCCTTCTCCCCACTGCTCCCCAATAAATAAAACTAAAGCCAAAAACATAGATTTTAAAAAAACTTTAAAGTGAAATGCTCCGAAGATTGCAGCAACCTTAGAGATGACGGCAATATCACAGGAAAGCTAAGGAATATTTTTAAAGAAATGAACTAAAAATAATGTAGTATAACTTCTGTCTCCCAACCCCCTCCCCCAAAGCAATAGCTGCATGGCATAAAATGTGTAGAAAAAATGTGGGGGGTTTTGTTTTTAATAAAAACTTTGACAGTTGTGATGCCAAACCTTTGCTTTCATTCATGTCTACAACTTTTTCAGGCATTATATTGGTACTGCCTTTTTGCAAGTGGGGAAGTAAGGTTCTATGCACAATGCCACTGGATGGTTGTATGGAGGGCCCGGTTGTGCTATTTCTCCCCTCTCTTTTAAGGGAGAAGGAGCATACAAGTGGGCACTAATTGCATGAGGCTGTGGGTGCATCTGCTCCTTACCCTTGGTCTCTTACCTTTCCCGCTCCTACCTGACCACAGTGATCCATGCAGCGGTCACCTCCAGGCTTGACTACTGTAATTCGCTCTACGCGTGGCTGCTCTTGAAGCTGTCCCAGAAACTCCAGCGGGTGCAGAATGCTGCAGCGAGGCTCCTCACGGGGTCTTTGCCCTGTGAGCATATTCATCCAGTGCTTTTCCAGCTGCACTGGCTCCCGGTGGAGTACAGGGTCAGATTTAAGGTGCTGGTTTTGACCTTTAAAGCCCTTCACGGCCTAGGACCCTTGTACCTACGGGACCGCCTCTCCCGGTATGCCCCATGGAGACCCTCAAGGTCCATCAATAGCAACACCCTAGTGGTCCCGGGCCCTAAGGAAGTTAGATTAGCTTCAACCAGAGCCAGGGTCTTTTCAACACTGGCTCCGGCCTGGTGGAACGCTCTGCCTCATGAGACCAGGGCCCTGCAGGATCTGATTTCTTTCCGCAAGGCCTGTAAGACAGAGTTGTTCCACCTGGCCTTTGGCTTGGAGCCAATTTGATTCCCTCCCCCTCTTTCTTTTTTCTTTTTCCTTTCTCCTCCTGTGATGAGGCTGCATTTTAATATTTTAATGTTTCAATATTTTAATCTTGTTTTTAAGTTGTATTCATTCAACTTGTTTTTATTATTGCTTGTTAGCCGCCCTGAGCCCAGCCTTGGCTGGGGAGGGTGGGGTATAAATAAAAATTATTATTATTATTATTATGCAAAAAGGAGGCGCTCCCAAGGCAATCTGTGAACTGAAGCAAAAGTAGCCCTTTCCAATGCTTTCAGGAGGAAGAGAATTGGCGAGTGGAATGGACTAAGCTTGGATGGTTTTAGCCCTAATTCACACATTATTCATGTGCAAAGCACTCACAGTTTCAAGCTGCATCAAGGCTGCTCTTTTCACATGCACAACCATTGTTGCCCTAGGCACTGGTGCCCTTTCGGGATCGGTATGGTGGGAGGCAAGGAGACCAACGGTAGGCGGAGGCAGCTAATTCTAGTTTGGTGCCCATCCTCCTCCCTGCTCAGTTTTAAAAGGGCAACCCTGAGACTAAGAAGGAGGAAGCTGACTTGTAGTCTCACCCCCTAGTCTAGTTTTAAGTAAGAAGGCAGGCAGGTGGAGGTTGGCTTCTTCTTTGGCACATGATTGGAACATCTAACCATGGCTATTTTTGAATATTGGCTGGCACAAAGGAGTTTGCACGCACCAGCAGCTACTCAAAGGGCAGAACTAGCACAGTAGTTTGGGGTCAGGGGTGGGATGTGAGCGCAGCCCTGCTCCAACTTGAAACTGGGTGTATTCTGCATGCAGGTAATGTATGAATAGTGCTTTCAGGATAGGCAAGGAATCAGAAACAAAAATTTGTTTTAACTTCTTTTTTTGGGGTGGTCAGATTTCCCCCAGGACTCTCAGCTCAGCTTGCCAGTTCCCTCCCTCCACTAACTGCCTGAGGTCTGTGGTAGAGCCTTAGCAATGTGCATCTTAAACCAGGCTGTCAGGACAGAGCAGCAGCATCCTATACCCTGGGAATCAGGTTTAGCTAGCAGATTCTTGAACTGCTAAGACTTACACATGTTGGTAACAAGCGCCATCAAAAACCCCCAAAACATTCTTTGCCAAATTACTGGGGAAATACTGGGCCACATCTTTTCAAATTGCTGTTGATGTCAACAGGCCAGGTTTCGCCCTATAGATATTGTATTTGCTCGAACATGCATTAAACACTTAGCAGAACATCAGAGCCCCTGCTTCTGGTTAAAGAAAATGATGAGATGAATTTGGATAAATTGCCATCCTCTGCAGCAAGTTCAGGGAGAAACAGATCTGAGCATTGAATGTCTGTGACCACTTCTAATTTGACTTTGATAAGAGAAGTTCTGAAAAATACATCGAGCTCTGCGCTGAAAGTTTCCAGTATTTTCCACCAAAACTACCCGCACAAGGAACGCATTTGACTGAATGCCACGCAAAAGGGGCATATCCCATTTCAGAATGAAACCGAATCCCTTACATGTGTTTTCCATATTTGTACTTGCAATTTTGCTTCCCGCCGTTGGCATTTCTTCAGCTGCTATTTCAGATTTACTTGCCAATCAATTTATTTTAGATCAAGCATTTTAAAATGTTATGTTGTGGTAATGTGACATGAGTTATTTTAATGATCTAATATCTTTTTAAAAAATTCTAAGTGGACTTAGCGCTTATGAAAGTTGACAGATTGATAGCCCTGGAAAATAAGGACCCATGTTGACTCACTTTCATTTTTTAAAAATTATTATTAAAGGGGAAAGTACAGATCACTTGACAGTGCACTTAAAAAACAAAACAAAGAAAAGCAATGACATGTGATAATAAACAGTATGAAGCAGAAACTGCAAATATCTGAGGTTCTGTTTCCTCCATAAATAATTAGGCGCCAATGTGATTATATAATATTGTTTGGCTTTATTCTGTATATTCTGTTTTATAGATTATGTTGGAAAGCATTCTGGGACTGTTATGTAAAATCAAGGGTGGCCCAGAAATAATAAAATAAAGAGAATGATTGGTTTTGAAAATGCAGGCCCTCCAAACAGGGCCAAGGCAAAACTTGGCAGGTCAGGAATACACCTAAGATAGAATCCAGTGATTCAGAGGCTGAGCCTGACAGAATCTGTACTGGCTTTTTAGGAGGAGTGGGGCAAAAGTTCTCAAATCAATACAGTGGTACCTCTGGATGCAAACGGGATCCGTTCCGGAGCCCTGTTCACTTCATGAGCAGAACGCAACCCGCGTTTGCGCATCTGCGCGTGCGTGGGTCATGATTCACCGTGTCTGTGCATGCGCGTGACATCATTCTGAGCATCAGTGCATGCGCAAGCGGCAAAACCCGGAAGTAACCCATTCCTTTACTTCCGGGTCACCGCGGGATGCAACCTGAAAAGATTCAACCTGAAGCAAATATAACAAGAGGTATGACTGTATTTGCAGTGGTTAAAGAGAGGGTGAAATTGCTCCCCCCCCCATTTTTGTATGTTTGTAGTGTGATTTGTGACACTCTCCCAGGAGTGTCTCTCCCCAGGTGGGTGGAGCTGCAGTAACAGCCTCCCAGCAAGGGTGTCACTGCTTCTTACAGGGAGGGGGAGGCGCAAGCTCAGGGTGCACTTCTGGAGCCAACTGTGTACTCCCGCCCGTGCACCTGGACACACCTGCAAGCCACTCCTGCAGTCACTGCAACTCCTTTGGCCTCCATTTGGCTGGTATTGACATTTCCCCTCCTGAGTGCCATGCAGCGATGCTACATCACATCGGCGTGTCATTCTGGGGGTATTCAGGGACAGTGGAATGGCACATGCCAGCAAAACGAGGCTAAAAGACGGCTGGTGGGGGGTCACTGCCTGACCACACTGAAAATCACTGAAAGGGCCCTTCTTTTCATGTTCTGTAAAGTGGCCCACAGGGTTGAGATGGGGTTGTTTTGGCCTTTGGGCCATTGTATTGGTTTTCAGACAGAATATAGTTTCTTTTCAAGTCAGACCATTGAAACACTGAGTGGTCGAGCTCATAGCAATTGCACAACTTCTCAGTCCTAAATATGGACAACTCCTCCAGCAACAGGTGAGAGAAACCACCTACCACAGTGTTATGTCGCTTTAGTGGTTGCTGTCAAACTTTAACTATCCCTGTGAACCACCATGCACAATGAAGTAGAAATGATAACACCACCATTACCATTGGTTGGTTGATTGATTGATTGATTGATTGATTGATTGATTGACTGACCTTCTTACTATGCTCTCTCTCTCTCTCTCTCTCTCTCTCTGTGTGTGTTTCTCAGCGTCTTCACTATGCTCCAGGCAAACCCATAGCTGACTGTGCGAAGATGTACTGGCTTTTTTTAAGAATAGAAGAATCTGGCATTCTGGGCATATTGATTACCCTACTGCTTTACACAATGCTGTTTCTCATTTCGTCTACATCCCTGTACCTGTATTTAATGAGGTAAGCTCTCCTTCCTTTTTCACTATTCCAAAATGTAAGATTCTTCCCTCTGTACCCAAATGGCCTGCCATGATTTCATCAAACAAAAGGCCACAAGATGCCGGATTTGGTGTAGCAAATGTACCGAGAGAGAGAGAGCTTCTTAAACTTGCTTAAGATCAAATTCAGGCCTATAAACAGCTATTTACCTGGAGTGAGTAAGAATAACAACCGCAATGTGCTTTTCCCTCCTGCCCCATTTCAGGCTACTGATGGCCTGGAGGAGGGCTGTGAAACATGTTGTGGACTAATACTTTTTGGGGACTATCCAAACCCCAGCCATCAGCCAGCTGGGGCAGAAGGTGGGGGCTAGGATAATTGCTGAACCAGCTTGGAACTGGGGTAGCAGTCAGGCCCACTGACATCATGCAATGGTACGGGGACTAATTCAATATCCAGTAGACCTCTACCCAATTCCAGAATGCCACATTTCATGATCCTGCTAGCAGCACTTCCACCTGTCTGCATATTTAGTAGACAGAAGGGGAAACTCTGCACTAGCTCTTCCCAATCCACCTCTCCTCCACCTTGGTGCATGGGGGTGGGTTGGATTTATAGACTGCTGGACACAGAACTGGGTTGTACCTGCTAAGTCACATTCAGAGTAGACTCACTGAAATCAACTGACTAGTTGCATCCACTGATTTCAGGGGATCTTCTCTGTGTATGACTCAACTGGATACAACCCTTTGTCCATTTGTATGCATGAAATGCAAACAGAGCCCAGGTAGCGAATCAACCGTGATCCAGTTGTAAACCAACGGGCATAATATCAGTGCAATTGATGAGTAAGGCCTGTTCGCCAAAGCTTACGGCAAGTGATTTGGTGCCTAGATTTTGCTCATAAATAACAGTCCTAAGTTGTCTTTAGAATGCTAATCCACTCTATTAGGTTCCCATTGACCTGAACTTCCTTTTTTAAGGTGGGTGTGGAACTGTGCATGGTTTAACATTACATGAATGTTTCTCTCTCTTTCTCTTCAATGAAAGTAGAAATAGGATGGGGAGAATCAAGAGTGGAACCCTTGCACAGATCAGCTCTGGTGGGGGAAAAAATAAAGCTAATGCTAATATCAACACAAATGTGTGTTGTAGCTAAACAATATGGATATATGTTTTTTCAGACTGGCAAATTAGATTGCTAGAGATGGATAGTTTGCACACAAGTAAATCATTTCTGTCTGTATATTATCAGAAGCACCATTGCATCAAGCGGGGCGGGGGGAGGGAATACGCAATTTAAAACCCTACAAAGGGAATTCAAATCTTCTACATTCCTGCAAGCTGTACACAAGTCCAATGTACTGGTAGTCTAGTTAATTAGTTTTTGAGATGTTAATGCCTTCTTAATCATTGACTTAATAGTTTCGAATGGCTTCATAAGTTTTAGCTGCTGTCGTTTATTACTCAGGAAAATTAATTTAAATTAAAACATTTGTAAGGCAGATTTTTATGAGAATATTATGAACATCTTCATTGTCTGGGGAACAGGTGTGGGATCATCAAAGATTCTTTCCCTTCTGGATCAATCTTTGCATAATGTTTTACAATAAAGGGAAAAAGGTACTTCATTGGGACAATGCATCTTTTAAAATTCTTCATAACAAAATAATAAAGCAAAGCATGCATGACAAAACTGGTTACATTACAGAAGCTTTCCCAAGCATTTCGCTCCGTGGAAGATACAAAGCACACAATATAATTATACCTGGATTTTTAAAAAGAAACACTTTTGTTTTATTGTGCACAGAAATGTCTATTGATAAATGCATTTCTGAGTGGCTACGGAAGTATCTTGTTGCACATTAAGATATTTAGGCTTAATGTGCACATAGACATTTTTGTATGCATCAACTTTGCATCTTTTACCCATTTACACTTCAACACAAATCTCACTGAAATGCTTTTTATACATGAAATTAACTCAGGACTTGCAAACTTTACCTGTTTTGGATGGCAAATAACCAACTGTGGAACTGATCCGTCAAAACTACTTCTGTTGATTATTTACCAGATTTGCCTCCCACAGGCTAGAATGAAGCTGATAATTAAGGCTGCAATCCTATGTGTAGTTCCTCAGGAGAAAGTTCCATTGAACTCAATGGAAATTACATCCAAGTATCTATATACAAAATTGTGTCGTAAGATAATTAGAACAAAGCCAAGATCCTTCCAAGAGTTTAGTTCCTCTACAGGTCTAGCTAACCTTGACAAAGGTTAGTTGCAAATCAATTAGGATATCAAGGATCAAATGGAGGAGAATGAAAGACATATGCAGATATGGTTCAACCTAATGAAAAGGGTTCAACATTTCTGCTTCCAACCATAATGATGTGAGTGATTGAATGAATGAATGAATACATATATCTGCCTGACTTAGGAACTTTAGTCAGGTTTCCCCACTCCAGTTATCAGGGAATGGGGATCCAGTTCGCTGCATGACTTATTGACTCTCCTTACAACTAGAAAAATAACAAAATTTTTCAAATTTGGCATTTGTATAATTTTGACGTGATTCATTTCACAGAGATGATAGGCTTTAGCTAAAGATGGCATCAGGCAGAACCCACTGGGGAGAGCATTCACCAATCTGGGAGCCACAACTAAAAAGGCTCCCTGGGAGATTTTGTGAGTTATCATCCCAGTCCTTGCCAGAGACAGACAGGACTCATCACCATCATAAGCTTCATGAGTGGTTTTGTTGGTCATACATTTTTTAAAAATTGAATTTAAATAAAAGGAATGAGAAAAATAATAATATTGGAGCTAGGTATTTCTCTTCTTTTGTTTGATGTGGTTCCTACTTCAGCGTACCTGTTTAAACTATAATACTTCATTGTGATATTGCTTCCTTATTTTCTTTTTTATTTGTCTAGATTTTGGCAGTATAACTTTTACAGTAATGAAGGGTTCTTTTTTCTGCATTTCAGGATGCACAATGAAGGCTGGTTAATGGATATATTCAAAAGGATTCAGAGTGATGAGGCAACTTTATTTGTTCCATTTGACTTGGAAATCTCCAACCAAGAGTTGAGCTACATTGTGAAAAAGGCAGAACAGTGGAGAGGAATCAATGGTGAAAAACGAAAAGTGAGTAGAATAATATACCATCAGAGTTTTGCAGCATGTTGGTTCAGGGGTATCTTTAACTTCTTTTTTCATTAAAAGTTGATTCATCTTTGAATGATATAGGGATGTTTGAGGAATTCATTTGTTAATTCTGGTATGAACTGACCTGATCCACATACCGTATTTACTCGAATGTAATGCACATCTTTCTTGGCCAAACAACATCGCAAAAATTAGGATGCACATTAGATTTGATGGTGCCAGCAAATACTTTTTTGGTTTCAAGGTTTTGAAAGTTGAAGTGCACATTAGATTTGATGGCATATTAGATTTGCATAAATACAGTAGTATATCCTGAAAGTTCAGAAACTGGGTTTATAAATTAGTCAGTGAAATATCCAGTATTAAGACCAACGGCATTAAAAGGCATGATGAGGACAAGCTAACCACTGAACTGACTCTGAGATCTGGTCAGGGAGAATCACCTAAAGGCATTTATCAGGAATCAGGACATGGGAGAGGAAACTGGCTCAAGGAGGCCACTTCATAGTCCACTTACTATAGATCAACACACACTTACCTGGTAGTAAGTCTAACTCACCTCAGTTGGACTTTTATCGGAGATGCACTGGGCCACAATGTTAAAGTAGTTAAGTGAACCTGCGAAAGGTTTCAGTTTTCAGGAAATCCCCCAAACATGTAGACCAGCCCAGAAATTTGTTGGTGGGTTAGGTGGGACAGTGGCATTTCCATTATTTGGCTGGTTAATATGGAGGCAGTAGGAGTGAAAAACTAGTAAATGTGGGGATTCTGTCTAATAAAATAGCACTGCAGCTAAAAGGATGCAAAGTCTGTAAAGCTTTAACTGAGAAAGATCAGCAGTTTGTATAAATATATGGCCTCACTTGTCACTGCTATAAACATCTGGTGCTGTTCTAATTATTTTCCAGTTTCTTTCTCAATGAGAGTTTTGACCCTGGAAAACATAATAAAAAGGTGAATGTGTCAATTGAACAAGCAGATACTGTACACTTAGCCGTTTGTGAAGTCATTAGTGCCTGAAATTCTCCTTTGTGAATTTGGGTGCTTAATATTCTCTGGATACTCTCCCAATGCTCAAATATTCGGTGAATATTTTAGTATTTGGAATTTGAAGTCCATTGATATCTGGTTTAAATGTTTAATATCTGACCATCAACATTTGTAGAAATCAGCATTTGTCAGTATTTAGCACTTGGTATGTAACAGGAGATTGTGGTAGTTTTCAAACTTTCTACCTTCAGGGGGAATTTTATCTTTAGGAAATGCTTTCCCCACATATTTGCCTGACAAAGGACTTTAACCTCTTTCAGAATAAACTCAGTATGCACTCAGTTCACCATAAGAGCTTTCTAGGAAAGATCTAGGAGATTACAGGAGATTTCAAGGATGTCCATATTTTTAAGAGAGGAGCAAAATGAAGCCAGGAAATTCAAGCCCAGTCAGCCAACTTCAGTTTAGATCACAATACAACCACTGGGTTGCACCCAACTATGGATGTTCATTAATTTCAATGGATCTACTCTGAGTAGGACTAGCATTAGCTACAGTTCAGCATCTGTCATCTGAAGGGCAACAAAATCCCCAATAAGAACCATCTTCTCTTATTAAACCAATCATATGAAACCTTATTTCTGCTTTGTATGTAATGATAGTTCTGTGAGTGGTATATATTAGTGATGGGCAAACTTACCTTATCACAATCCAAATGCCTGCAAAGAAGGCATCATGACTTCCAGGACTCACAACCAAGATGGAAATTTGAAAGAAATTCTGTTAGAAAATCCATCTCAGATGAACTTTCCCCAGAACAGAGCACAGCTCTGGAACCTTCTCTAGTCTGAAGGACGAATCTATTTACATTGGATTATTTCTTATCCTTATCTGCTTGCTTCTGATTTTTATTCTCTAGATTTAAAAAATTGCCTTGTAACGGCATACTTTAAAATATGCTTAATTTCCTTTTATTAAACTGATAAATGCAGCAGTCGAGGATACATTTACAGTATAATGAGAATTTAAGGCTTTTCTATTTCATAATTTTTACATTGTTCAGACAAGCAATTTGTCATTGGCAGAAAGACAGCCATACCATAATTTTCAAAAGTATTTTTAGCCATCCATTAAATAGGAAAAAAGGTCACTTTCTGTAGTCAAGAATCACTCTATTAAAGTAATTTGCCAACATGCAAATGTTGTCACATTCCCATCATTAAGTATTTATCAAAAGGGTTTTTTTTTAATTTTTAAGAGAATATATATTAATAAATGGGCAGCTAGCAGCTGGAACTGGAAGTCATATTTTGCAACTCTAATGTTTTTTACATCCTTAATTAGATAGCATAAGGTTGATATGATTAGGTCAGGATGAAGTGTTTTTCATTAAACCAAATTTTAGAAGTTGTATTCATGATTCACCCTTGCAATTAAATAATGGGACAATGAATTTTATATCATTGATCTAATTATTCCCACATGGAAATGTATACATTTAATCAATGTGTGCCTTAGGACCTTCATTAGCAACAATGGGATAATAATATTTTGAAGTACATAGATTGCATGTCTACAAATGTATTTGTGTTCTAATTGTTGGTGAATGAGGTGAATATCGAATGGGATTTCAGTTCGAGACCAAATTCATTTACACTGTAATTGTCCTCATGCCTACTCAGATGTTAAGTCCCACTGATTCAATGGAACTTAGTCCCAGGTAAGTGTCTGTAGGATTGCAGTCTCACTGTGATGCATATCATGGAGTAACCCTAAACATATATGACCTTCATTTGTCTGCATGCCTGAACTGTGGCATTTAATTCCCCATTCATACATCTTCATGTCACATGAAAAGTAGCTAGGTTGTCTACCAGTTCCCAAGGCTGTTACAGGTATCGACACCTTGAACAGTGATGGGGAAGCTGTGACCCTCCTAATGTTTTTGTTGTTTAGTTGTTTAGTCATGTCCGACTCTTCGTGACCCCATGGACCAGAGCACGCCAGGCACTCCTGTCTTCCACTGCCTCCTGCAGTTTGGTCAAACTCATTTTGGTAGCTTCAAGAACACTGTCCAACCATCTCATCCTCTGTCGTCCCCTTCTCCTTGTGCCCTCCATCTTTCCAAACATCAGGGTCTTTTCCGGGGAGTCTTCTCTTCTCATGAGGTGGCCAAAGTATTGGAGCCTCAGTTTCAGGATCTGTCCTTCCAGTGAGCACTCAGGGCTGATTTCCTTCAGAATGGATAGGTTTGATCTTCTTGCAGTCCATGGGACTCTCAAGAATCTCCTTCAGCACCGTAATTCAAAAGCATCCCATTATCCCAAAATACTGGCAAAGTTTGCTGGGGCTGATAAGTGTTGAAGTCCAGCAACATTTGGACTGCCACTGCTGCATACTTAGACAGAGAAGGGAAGGACTGAGGCAGTGGTGCAGTCAGGGTGCTGCAAATGCACTGGTGGCGTCAATCCAGTGCTCCTGCTGGCATGTTTGCACCATGCCAAACCTTGCTGCCATCTTGACTTCTCCCCATCTCCATTCTCATATGCATTTGCACCTTGGCTGAAGGGAAGTCTGGCAAGGGCATGCAGCTGGATCCTAAGCACTTTTGTTGGAACTGAATCTCATTTGGTTCCATGGAGTTCCTAGTAAGTCTTATCATATAATTTTCTTGGGAGTAACTTTGTCCAATGAAAACAATGAGATGAACCTGAAAATATCAGTGCCTCAATTCAAAGCATAAGCTCTTCATGTATGCAGAATTTCCAACTCAGTTTCTTTGAAATCCTTGAACGATATGGCTTGAACGTTGCCTCCTCAAAGTTAACAGGACAATTGCTCCTGGAAATGAGACTGATTCATGAGACTAGGGCTAATTTTCTAATTCTAAAATGATATTATAGCAAACCATAAAAAATTAGCCGGCAGTAATTTTTTTGAAAAGAAAATATATTTGTAATTAGCTTGAACACACAAAATTACTTGGGGGCCTATTATCGACACAATTTTTGGCACTTTACACTAATTTGCATTTATTACTCTCAGGCCAACTTGTTAATATGTTAATAAATAAGTCATTAATATATGTTATTTAATTGCCACCTATTTATTCCTCCTCCATAATGCATTAATTACCTGTTAATAGTTAAGGGCAAAATCCTTGCATTGGAAAGGATCTAATGTTGCCTTCCATCATTCAGTTGCAAGAGATATCCTTGTGATAATCAAGTCCAATAAATTCAATATGGCTTTTCAAGGATTTGGAGAACTTAATAAATGGGTCCTCCAAATCTATGTTGGGCATGTTCCATGCAAGTATCCAGACAGGGTACTAATTTTTCTATTGCATTTTTTTCTCTTTTGCTGCCAATGGTGCACTCCAGCTTTTGTTTAAGAGAGGGAGGGAGGGAGGGAGGGAGAGAGAGAGAGAGAGAGAGAGAGCACACCAGGCTCCTAGCAGTGATATTTGCAGAGAAAAACCGAAACCCCCAAAATAAAGAATGCAATGCTTTGCCAAGTGCAGTCAATCTTTATTTATGGATTTCACCACTTTGCAAAAAGAAATTAGAAAAGGAATGCCATCACAACTGAATAAAGTATTACAAATAATTTAGAATCAAAAATTAAAGCTATGCAAAAATAATGTATAGCAAAAAATATTACTCTTTTTTAAAAAAATAAATCATTTGGTTATTTTCATTTAATTTTTGCAGCAGCGTAGGAAATGTATTTGCTGAATATGCAACCTTATAGAAAAACCATATGATTTTCTTGTTAGCTGAACTAGATGCTTTCCCTTTTCAATCATGGGACATAGGCGTGGGGCAAAGGCAGTTTGATCCAAGCAAAGCAACGAAAGTCACACACCAACATGGTGCCGGGCACAATGTAGAGAAGGGTTTGCCCTTTGGGTTCCCTCAAGCATGCTGCCATCTTTGCTATATAAACAGTGACACTCACCCCTTAAAAGTAAGGAAAGGGGGGGGCGAGGAAAAGAAAAGGAAAACCATGATTATAAACAATCAGCCACTAATATTAGCTTTCATTTCCCTGTGGCCCAGTAATCAGAAAAAGTGAATATCTTTAAGAGGGGGGAGAGTAGCTTTGAGTGGCACCTGGAATTAACTAGACCGGTGTGGCAAAGATCTCTGCCATTAAATTCTTGGTTCAAAATCTACAAACACTTCTCCTTTTTTTTACATCTGTGTATAAGGGAAAATAGAGATTAGGAGAAGAAAATTAAATGCAGGCTGGACAAAAAACAAGATTCATTTGCCCATAAAACATGTTAGGAAGTTTAAAAAACATTTTAACAGATGTGCACACACAAAGGACTACTTTAATCAATTATCATAATGAAGAATGAATGTTGCCCACCAGTAACCTAATGGAAACAGTCTTGCAGAATGCAGCTGCTGTTTGACTCTGCACAGTCCTATGTTGGTGGCATGATTTCCTATTTTATGAATAATAAGGAAGGGAACAGAATAAAACATGGCTTAAAAATGGGTATATAAAATACTCCAAGCCATTGATTCCTGCATCCCCAGATCAGATGATTGCATGGTAGTATGTCAGTGGAAGAAAAATAAATATGAGTGTGTGTGTGTGTGTGTGTGTGTGTGAGCAAGCAACAGCTCTCAGGAGCTGCTCACAGCATCCTTCACTTTGCCACATGATATCCAATACAATGCGCAGCCGTTCCACACTACAAACTCTGGCAAAATGAAATGTCATGGTGAAACAGAACGGGGTTTTGCTTAGGGGGGGAAAAATTGTGAACTTGATGTCGATGGAGATATTTTCATTGCTTGCCACTCATTTAAATTTAAGGAAAACTATGAAAATGTCAGGAACATTTAGGTTTCTAAAATTTGCTGGTGATCCTTGAAAAAAAAAAGATACTTGAAAATCCATAATGAGCACATTAATTATGTAGAAGCAGTGATGCAGAAGAACCTAATTAATTGTCGTCTTGTCAGCCTTCTGATTCCCATACCTGGAAGGGAGGTGTTAATTTCCACAATACTTAGGCATATATGCAAACTGTTTCACCAGAGCACTTTGAGTGGTGGCAAAGGAGAAACGCACTCTTCTGTCATTTTCTCTCTCCTCTGCAGTAATTAATGGGACGTTCTGTTGACATGAGCTAATAGCTTTTGATCAGGGCCTGCCTGTCTGTTGGGCAAATGAAAGATTTGTTCCAGTGGTGGAGGCAGCAAGCATACCTGGGAAAACATTTAGCCATTGCCAGTGCTGATGCCAAAGGCAGCCAAGCCCAAAGAAGGGGAGACCCATTGATTGCATCTACTGGTCAACAATTATATGCTAAATTGGTCCCCTCCCCCATTTCTGGATTAGAAGGTGAGGCCTGGTGCTGCAGGACTTTGCGAAATGGGGTGCAGATGCATACTCAGATCAAGGTGATAAAAGGATAGGGCCCTGGTGGGACATGGATTTAGAGAAAAATGGGAAGGGGGCAATATATGCTACTGAAGGATGAATAGGCATGAAAGAAAACATTAGTGCAAAGTTACAACAGGAACAGCATGCCAGTAAACTACTCAGTGACAGGCTTCAGGGAATCCGATCCCTCCTTGTAATGAGTATGGGTTGCTCGTGCGTAAGTTGCCGCCTCTCCTGGCTTTGTTGCCTTGTTAAACCCTTCAGTCTGGGCAGCCCTTCACTTCGTGGCTGCCTCAGTCGCTAGTAGAATCCGTCAGTGGGCGTTTCTTAAATCTTTTCCAACATAAAAGTTGTTTGACACCCAGTCTCATCCTACTCTCTCTGCGCGGAAGTCTTCTGTACAGGGAGGGCGTGGGTAGCGGAGGACCCGTGCTCTCCCCGCTGGTGTCCGGTGAAGAGTCCTGGAGCCCTCTCGCCGATTCCCCCATCTGCCCCCCTGTATCCCTGGTGTTGCGCTGATTTGCTTCCCCATCTGTGGAGCTGCCTCTCTCCCTGCTGGGCCCTTCTCCAGCATCATTTGAGAGCCTTCCCTCCGCCTCTAGCTCCGATGTCAGTTCCCTGACACTCCTACAGTAGGAAGTCGATAACAAGAAGAGTTCTTACCAAGTCCTTTATTCAATATTCACAGATAGAGGCTTTGGAAAGTGCCTCTCCATTGCAGTAATGGCGTTGCTCTGAGTAATCTCCTCTACCACTTGGCTGCGTAAGGCCCTTTGTCTGTTTGCTTTCTGCTCTCTCACTGGTCCTAGAAGAAGGGAGGGGTCTGGAATGCTTTCTAATGATAACGTGTCAGCCAGCAGTTCTGGCTCTGCTGCTTCCCCCTCCTCTCTTTCCATTATCTCCCAGCTTTGTCCTTTTTCTGTCTCAGAGTCATGACCTTCTGCAAACCACCATTGTAATTATACTGTCCTCCTCTTCTTAGGAAGGTTCAGGAGGAGGGGGTGGCGGCCTCCACCATTCCTCTTCAGTCCAGTCCCTGACACACAGGATGATTCACCTATTTGGGCTGCATGAGGTGTGACTTGTACCCAGTGGCTACTCATTCCATTCCATTTCTCAAAGTTGAATTAGATATATATGACAGAAGGAAACCTGAGGAAGATGACATGCATAGAAACACGACATATTAAAGGTTTTGATCATGCCCCCTTCATGCTGGAATATAAGGGTTCAGGCGATCCCTGAGGTATCCCAGAGCTAAGTTGTTCAGGGCTTTGTAAATCAATACAGGACCCTTGAACCTGGCTTGGTAGCGGATGGGCCGCCAGTGCAGCTGTTTTGGTGTCTCATATTCTTGATCAGAAACTCCCATTGGCAATCTGGTTTCAGCATTCTGCACCAGCTGGAGCTTCCAAACCAAGCCAAAGGGCAGCTCCACATAGAGTGTGTTACAGATATCTAGCCTCAAGGCAACCAATGCATGGACTACAGCACTACAGCAGGGCTGGCCCAAGACATTTTAGCACCTGAGGTGAACCACAAAATGGCACCCCCTCCATGCCAAAGAAGAAGGAATGAGTGAAGTTCTGCATCAGGCATAAGGGAGCAATAAAGATTGACATCAGAATCTGCTGCCGTTGTGGCTCCTGGTGCCTGAAGCAGTTGTCTCACCTTGACTCATGAGTGGGCCAGCCTTGGACTACAGTCAGGCTATCCCGGTTTAGGAATGGTCATAGTTGGCAAACCAGACAAAGCTGGTAAAAGGCACTCCTGGCCAGAGAGGACATTTGGGCCCCTATTGATAAAGTATCCAAGAGTGCCCCCAAACTATGCCCTTGCTGCTTCAAAGGGAGTGCAACCAGAACAGGTGACTTGCCAATTTCCCAAACATGCGAACAACCACCTACTCAAAGAGCCTCGATCTCCCCAGGATTAAAACACAGTTTATTGGACCTCACCCAGTCCACCAGTGCATCCAGGCACCAGTTCTCATAGGTCATGATTTTGATTTTGAGTATCTTCTTCACGATGAGCTACTGTTCTTCCCAGGCTTTAAGATGTGCTAATAAAGTCCTGCTCTGAATTTCAGTGCTTACTGACTTTAGGTTGATTTATTATTATCATTATTTTTAAAATAATTTTATTAAGTACAAATTAAAAAAACATACATATTCACAGCAAAAGAAAATACAAAAGAAAGAGAAAATACATCTAACCAAGGAAAAACAATTAGAGAAAGTTTTGTCTCTTTTCATATTTACAGTTATTTATACCTCTATAAAATGCTGTTTACAATAAAGCAGTGAAATGAAAGATAAGATATCAGGGGGAAAGAAAAAAAAAAGAAAGAATAAAGAAGTGAAAGAAAAAGATCATTTTAGGTTGATTTAAAAAATGAACAGGCCTTTTAGTGTGTGAGCTCCAGAATGATGGAATTCCCTTCTCCCATAGTGTTGGATAGCATGCTCTTTTTCTTTTTCTTTTTCCTTCCTTGTTTAAGAAAGGAAAACACATATGTTTAGGCTGTGGGTGTACAAGCACTCAACAGCTTGACCTGAGAGTGAATCCAGCCTTTCATGTGCTTTGAAAGTTAAGATAGCTGTGCCAGCAGGACGATTCTGCCAGCATATTTTCCTACTGGGATTTATGGAGTGGGGATGAAGTAGAAGAATCACTATGATCCCTAGTGGTAAAAGATGTTGCCAGCATCACCACACTAATAGCATCTTCTTCACTTTCCAGAATATTGAATGGGAAGGAGAGATGCCTGCTTGCTTCTCCATCATAAGCTCTAAGACACATTCCCCCCTGTTGGGAATGGGATGGGATGGGATATAAAGGTGAGTGGAAGCGAAGGGTTGCACAAGTGGAATTGAAGTAGGGAGCCCACTCAAAATAAACTACACATGTCTTGATTCTGCTCAAAAGAATTACAGCAAGGCTGCTCAAATTAGTTTAGGCACACTTTTGGAAAAACATACCCCTTTTATATTTATGTCTAGCCTTTGTGAGCTTGAGTTGTTAGTGTTAATTATTGTGGATTTCAGCACTGCTATCCTAATAGCTTTTCTGAACTGTTTAGCCACCTTGAGAACCGTTGGTTGAATGGTGGTCTAGAAATAAATAAATGGGTTTCTGGTCTTGTATGAAGACCACTTGTGATCATGGGCAAACTTTGAAAATCTGCATTGAAAAACATTTAGTCACAATTCTTCTTTAGTCACAATTTTTTCAGGTGTGCCTGTCATCAGATGCTTGGAAGAAATAGCTCAATGAAAATCAGGGTTTTGCTGCTTGTTGTCAAGGCTATAGAAAACAATCCATTGCATTTGCTCTCAGGGTGGGGCACTGAACACATTTCATCCAATATCATCTTACTTACATTAATATTTGATTCATAGGCATCCTGTCCACAGAGATTAATTAGCAAGCAGGTCTGAAGTGTGCAAGTGAAAATATGATAATTAGTTTTCTGACAATGCTAACATTTCAACACTTCAGATTGCGTGATGGTTTTGCATTTAAGGAAAGCAAGCAAATCCCTCCCCAAGCAGACTTCTGTTGGTTTGACATATACAGTGGTACCTCGGTTTACCAACTTAATCCATTCTGGAAGTCTGTTCTTAAACCGAAACTGTTCTTAAACCAAGGTGCGCTTTCCCTAATGAGGCCTCCCACTGCCGGTGCCCTTCCATCGTTTGGATTCCATTCTTAGACTGAGGTAAAGTTTACAAACTTGGACACTACTTCCGGTTTTGCGGAGTTTGTAAACCGAATCGTTCGTAAACAGGTCTGTTCTTAAACTGAGGTACCACTGTATACATGGAGGCTCAGCCTGGCAGGGACACCTCCTAGGCAAGCCCCATTGAAGAAGAAGAAATGCTCCTCAGTAATTGTGCTCATAGTCAATAATAACGTTCTTAGCTCTAATAATGTTCTTCTTTAAGGCTGCAACCCTGTGCATATCTACATGGGAATAATACCACTGAACATGGTGAGACTTACTTCCAAGTAAACTTGCTTAGGGATCATGTAATATTATAATTCTGTATATTATTTTCTCTCCTTTCTGTACTAATCTCCAGTAAACAGGGAAATCCCTCAGGATATTTTCCGTTTTAAACAAAATATTGCTGGAACTTTAGAATCTAAGTATAAAAATAGCTAGTCTCCCACTTTTAATAGATGCAACTTTTGGAATTGATTGTTCTTGCAACTGAAAAGCCAGTCCAGGGTCCATTAGGTCAATGGTTCATGTATTACATCATGGACTATTATAATTTCATATATTACATTGTTTCCCTTCTGTGTGACAAAATCACCAATGAACAATTATTAAACCCCTTAGGATATTTTGTTCCTATTTGTTTTACCAATGTTTTGAACACTTTGGAATCCTTATATAAAGATAGCTAATGCATATGTGTTTCTGCACATGCCAATCTATCATAAAGAATGCTTGGAATCATGCCTTGCCTGCCTTTTCAGAACCTGAGTTGGTAACAGAACAACCAGAATCTCTTAAATTCGATCAAAGACCCAAAGAGAAGCATATCGTGGGTCTTAAGAATTCCACCACGTTCTTTGAAAGACAGCTGGTACTAGAACCACTTGTTATTTATTTCCATTAATGAATCACATCCTGGAAATCTCAAAGTGATACACACACACATGTTCAAATGCAATTCAGATAAATTTGAGATTAAAAAATCTCGCTAAAGGCTTGATGAAAAAGAAGGTACTCAATAGTTGTCAAAAAGGCAATCTAGATGGAACTTATTTGATCTGTAATGGGAGGGAGTTCCAAAGGTACGATTCCTACAGGCTTTCTGAAAAGTTGCTACCTGAAAGAGTGTGGTGTTTAGCTGAACCATTAGAAACAAGATCGTAAAAAGAGGAATATTTAGCTCCCTCTGAGTTATAGCTATTTCCTGATGAGGTTGAGGACAACTGTTCATCTCCTTTAAAATGTTTCTGGCCATAATACAGGATGGCATCATAAATAGATTGAGCAAGCTGCAAAGTAAATTATTTGAGAGTTTGGAACAGGCAACTCTAAAATCCAGTGAATCCCAAATTCTTGAATTTAAACAGATTTAGGGCCGTTGAAGTAAATCAGAATGCATACTAGCATTCCAGGCAAATGGGGTTATGGATTGGGCTGTCAGAAGCTTTGGAAAATATTAGCCATGTACAAAGTAGCATTAGTGATATACACAGCAGCATTTAACTGAATGATCTGGAGCACATTCTAAGTTTTCAGATAGCTAGATGTTTTCAATAAACAGAAATGCTGATTACCTGAGATGGGAGACATAGAGAAGGATGGGCGGCAAAAGCCAAATTCAGATAATGATTAGACATCCAAGATCGAGATTTGCATAAAAGAATAATTTGTAGAAAAGTGAAATATTCATTTGAAGTGAAAGGCATGAGGAATTCTGTTTGTTTGCAAAAATAAAGACAGCTCCAGGAATGTGTATTGTCCATAAGAATGAGTGAATTTGTCAGTTTCAATTGCTCTAAGTTTTTCATTTTTTCTAATCTTAAATTCAGTTCTCCACATTTCACAGTTTGTGATTTTTTAAGAGTTCTTGTTTTTTTAAAATGTGTGAATTTCTTTTAATGCACACATTTTATATGCAATTTTACATACACACACACAGCAATTTCACCTGATATAATGCATCTCTGTTATTTTCACCAATGTATGCATTTTTAATGGATATCTTACTCTGGAATATGCATTTTTCACCTTTTACTTGGATCAAGAGCTGCTTTGCAAAATTTGGAGAAGTGCGGATTTCAAGGGAGAACTGTCTTTCTGTTTACATAATGTTTCAGAAAGTATGAATTAGGCAGTTTGGCCCTTAAATGCAAATTAAATCCCCCATCCCACTTTGATTTCCACTCCTTCATTATAGTCCTTCATTCAAAGATGAGAGTATGAAGCAAAAAGAGAGGGTCACTTTGTAATAATGAAAAGTCACATTAGGATTTTAGCTTCCAGTTTCAACCTTATCTTTTAGCCTGCTTAACCATTGCATTAGACTGCATTTGTTCTTTTGACAATTTCACTGTGACAATATTTCAGAGGAAGTTACCTGGGTAAGCAAGCTCCCATATTTGTATTGAAACAAGCAAGGAGAATACACAGTGTAAGATCTCATTCAGGAGCATTATTCAGATTAGTGACTACATTCCACGCGCCTTGCCTTGCAGCTGTCCAAAGGGTTAGGTGGGCTTAACATGAGTCTGCAGGTTTTGTCTGTGGTCTGGTTTTAATGAACCTTGAAAAAGTTGCCTGAGGTTGGTAGGTCCCCTGACAAATATTAAACAGCTGGAATAAACAAGCTGTTCTACTCGAATGCATAAAACACCCCACATTTTGTTCTGCAAGAAAAATAAAACAAGCAAAGGGGTGATACACTTTATTCTGACAGGCTTGGCAGCAAATTCAAAGTAGAACTCCTGCCTTTCCAGGGCAGGAAAACTTTCACTCAAAGCTCATCAGCTTCATTTAAATGAATGAATGAATTGAATTGGTACCATTCCCCTTTAATTTACCTTGTTCCTAGACAGTTTAATAAAGGCATTAGACTATGGCAAATGGAGTGCAGTTCTGTGTAGGTTACCTCAGTAGTAAGTCCATTGTGTTTAATGAGGCTTCCTCCTTAGCTAAGTGTGCCTAGACTGGCAGCCTTAGCCTGCAACCCTGAACATTATTAAGAACCCCTGACCATTAGGTCCAGTCGTGGCTGACTCTGGGGTTGCGGCGCTCATCTCGCTTTATTGGCCGAGGGAGCCGGTGTACAGCTTCCAGGTCATGTGGCCAGCATGACTAAGCCACTTCTGGCGAACCAGAGCAGCGCACGGAAACGCCGTTTACCTTCCCGCTGGAGCGGTACCTATTTATCTACTTGCACTTTGACGTGCTTTCAAACTGCTAGGTTGGCAGGAGCAGGGACCGAGCAATGGAAGCTCACCCCGTCGCAGGGATTTGAACCTCCGACCTTCTGATTGGCAAGTCCTAGGCTCTGTGGTTTAACCCACAGCGCCACCCGCGTCCTGAACATTATTAATAGAGAGTAAATCCCGCTGGGTTCTGTGGGATTCACTTCGGTACAAACATGCCATCTAGTTCAATGTCATCTAGTCCAACCCCCTGCGATGCAGGCATCTCAGCTAAAGCAGCCATGACAGATGACCATCCAACCTCTGCTTAAAAACCTCCAGGGAAGGAGAATCCACAACCTCCTGAGGAAGACCGATCCACTGTCAAACTCTTACTGCCCTTACTGTCGGAAAATTCTTCATGAGGTTTAGTTGGAATCTCCTTTCTTGTAACTTGAAGCCTCTGGTTCCAGTCCTACCCCCCAGAGCAGGAGAAATCAAGCTTGCTCCAACTTCCATAGGACAGCCCTGCAAATGAGATTTGGTGAGCTTTATGGAAGGCCTTAGAGTTGATTCAGAACTGTGGGCCACCCGCTTTCTTCTTGTCCAGGCTGTTAAATGCTTGTAGTCAACTGGTTACATCTGGATTCTACCACAGTTCCAAAACTGGGTAAGGAATGTGTATATATCAGGCATCCCCAAACTCAGCCCTCCAGTTGTTTTGGGACTACAACTCCCACCATCCCTTGCTAACAGGACCAGTGGTCAGGGATGATGGGAACTGTAGTTCCAAAACAGCTAGGGGGCTGAGTTTGGGGATGCCTGGTATACATTATATGTGTGTATGTATGTACCTGTTACCTTTATATTGTGCCATTCCTCCAAAGAGCTCAAGGCAGAATACATTCTGCCTTTGCCTTCTCATCTTATTCCCCAAAACAACCCTATAAAGTTGGTCAGGCTGAGGTCCAAGGCCTTTCCAGCCTTCGCATTCTAACCACTATGCCAAACTTGCTGCCACAAAAAGCTTTATGAGAAGGAATGGAAAGAACCATTTCGGCAACAATTGTGTGAATCAGATATCCATGAACATTGTCCCGCACATGTGATGCCAGTGTTTGAGAAGACAAAATGGTGAAGCTGAGGGGGAGGTGCAAGTGGAAGCCTTTTTCTCCCCCCCCCCAAAAAAATGGTTTCCCCTTGAGCTTTGGGTCCTCAGTTTGTTCCTATCTGTTCGCTCGATTCCCCCCTATTATCTGCCACAATACAGCCCCCTTCCTGAACACATGCCATCGATCAAGGGTCTTGTTAGCAAGCCCAGCAACTAGTGTGGTGTGCATACTTGTAAATTACCCCAGGAGTTAATTAAGGCCTAGTTTCCCCATCACTGTAGCCTCCACAGCACTTGAGCCCATGTAGTTTGTGAATGTTTCGTATAAGAGTCTCGAACAATTAACACTTGAAGTTATGCCTTTTGCCTTCTTTAGCTCCGCGGCTATGGTTCGGTTCTCCAGTGGATGCCCAGATGCAAACGTTAACAGTTACATTGGATTATGTTACTAGCATCACACCTAGGGGTGAAAGACCCTCATAAATCCTCACTCCTGCAAGCCTGAGATTGATTAAAAGGATCTGTCTTGAAGTGATTTTCAGTTCCTTCCTGAATTTGCTAGCCCCTTTCCAAAATCAAGCCAACGTACCAACAACCGCTTTAATAGGACACCTCGGATAAACGGTACAAGCAGGAGAAGCTGTGCATGAATAATGATCTGCTAAAAGAATATTATTCAAATTCATGCAACTGGGAAGGAAAGATATTCATCAGTAAGAGTTTAAAAAAACTTTGCTTTTATGACCCCTATCACTGCAACATATCTAACGGCATTTTTGCTTGCCAAAGCTGACACTAATTTGTTTGTACCAATTGCAGGTAACGTACAGGCCAAGGAAATAAGCATGTATACAGGCAACTCCTGGTTTAGACATGACTGATTGATGTGCTAACACACACACGTGCATGGTGCCAAACCTCAAAGTGACCCCCAAAGTCATTAAAACACCACTAAGTCATCACTGAAAGGGTGGGATGGGGGCAGAACAGAGGTGGGGTGGAACGCTTTTCATGGGCTGTGCCAACAGGCACAGGGTCTAGAATGTAAGGTAATGGGACCCCTGATCATTAGGTCCAGTCGTGACCGACTCTGGGGTTGCAGCACTCATCTCGCTCTATTGACCGAGGGAGCCGGCGTACAGCTTCTGGGTCATGTGGCCAGCATGACTAAGCCACTTCTGGCAAACCAGAGCAGCACACGGAAACCCCGTTTACCTTCCCGCCGGAGCGGTACCTATTTATCTACTTGCACTTTGATGTGCTTTTGAACTGCTAGGTTGGCAAGAGCAGGGACTGAGCAACAGGAGCTCACCCTGTTGCGGGGATTCGAACCGCTAACCTTCTGATCAGCAAGTCCTAGGCTCTGTGGTTTAACCCACAGCACTACCCACGTCCCATGGTGGAGAACGTAACCCCTGTGCAAAACAAGGATCGCCTGTATTTGTTGTCATTGGTGCAGCTAGGGCTATTTTAGCCATGCTATGGCCCCTGCCATACCTGTGTGGGACAGGTAAATATTCAACTAGGCCAAAGCAGATTTGCAGGCACTAGGTTGTCAGGGATTGCAAGGTGCCATGCAGCTATTGAGCCCTGAAGATCAGATGATCATCCATGTGGGCAGAAACAGCTCACCTGCCATCATTGTGACAGCAGGTGATTGACAGATGGAGGCTTTATATTAGATGCTTATTTAAGAATGGTTATTTTTAGAAGTGTCCTTTGATTTCATATATTTTAACATACAGAAACTTTGAGTTAGAAGTGAAAACTGCAATCAAGGAAAAAACTGGTACTGACTAAAAGAAATAGCTTCAAAACAGAGAGCCTGGTGAGCAAGACAATTTGAAGGAATTCCATTTTGCTTTTGAGAGGGTCATATATCTCACAGAACATTGATCCACAGGCAAAAGGTCCACGCCTTCCCTCACATTGCAGTTGATCTCCCACATTTTAATTAATCCTGCAAAATGAAATTGCTCTTTTCTACAGGAATTGGCTGCTGTTCTTCCTTCTTTTTCTAATCTCCCCCTCTTTATGTTCAAAGCCAGGTGTCCAAATAGCATGGCCAAGGAAAGACCTGTGATGAATCAGCTCTGAAAACCGCAAGATGACACATTGCGAGGCCATTTCCCCCCAATAGCTAGCACCCACAATGTCCTGACATTGATTGAACCATTGTAGCTGAGTTCAGGCAGTAGAGCCGCTGGGTTGATAATGATTTCGATGGAGAGCAGAGGCACAAAGACACGTATTTGGATTCAGTTGCCCTCTGAATTCTTGTTGTTGGTTGCTGTTGCTGTTCATCTCCAATTTTTCAAATGAATTGTAAACGTTACCCATTGGATAAATACTGTCCCGCCATAGCGTGTCCAAAGTTTGTGAATCTTGATTAAGAAAGAATTAAGAAAGAATGCTCAAAAGAGGCATAGGCAAACTCGGGCCTCCAGATGTTTTGGGACTACAACTCCCATCATCCCTAACTAACAGGACCAGTGGTCAGGGATGATGGGAATTGTAGTCCCAAAACATATGGAGGGCCGAGTTTGCCTATGCCTGCTCCAAAATTACATTGTAATGATGAGTGGTGGAGGCACACACCTGGCAGTGGTGTCACTGCTGCCTAGCAGAATGGGGATGGACGAGTCAAAACAGCATTACCTGTTAGGAAGCAGCCTTACACTATATCAGTTTATTGTCCATCTAGCGTAATATTGTCTTCTCCAACTGGCAGCAGCTCTCCGGGGTCTTAGCAAAGACCTTTCCTATTGCCTCCTACCTGATCCTTTTGAGCTGTAGATGTCTCCTTCATAATCCACCCCTAATTTCCCAGGATCGACCCGAGTTATTCAGCTCTTCTTTCTGCATTCACTTCCAGTGCTTGAACCGCAGACTTAGAATGCAAACCAGCATTGCTCGCCTTTTGAGTCGAGAGGGAGGGGTGCAGTGTGATGGGCACCTGCCGAGCTAAGGATTGGAGATGAATAGAGCCCATATTGATTTGGGTATAATGGAGTGTATAAGAAAAATGGACCAGTTTTGTCTCAGGTATTTTCCTGGGGTATTAAATTGGTGGATTAGTTGCAAACAGCAGTCCTGATAAAGTCTCCTGTCCATATTGATGGTTGGGCCTTTCTATTAAAATGACACATAAATAACCTATTATGTCCCCCACCCTCGGAAATTCAAATGCACCTGTCAACTTGATAAAGTGCTTGCCTGGAGGGAAGCATTGTTTACATTTTCACTCCATTCTTCCAAAAAAAATAAAAATAAATTAAAAATGGGGTAGATTCTAATTATTTTTCCTACTGTAAATTAATGCTGACTATGATGCTTAGCAACTCTCTTTATTGTTATATCTTTGGGAAAGTTACATAATAGAACTGATCCATCACGTATTATGCAACAAGCATTTTATGACAGGCTTCCTTGGGATCTTATTTTGCCACTCTTCATAAATAATCACTTTTGTTTCCTTCTTCTCCAGCAGCTGGAGGAGACTCTGTTGGCTGGTGGCTCAGAATGGGTTTTGTTTGCAGTGGGAAATGGAATTCACAGACATTTACCAGCCAGTGATCTTTTGCTGTCTTGTATAGAGTCATTACTGAAAGTGCACTCCACTAATAAAGGGCATTGCTCTAACAGGCAGTTGGTTAGAATAATGCTAGAACAGTTATGTGTGTGTGTTTCCCTGCAAATCAAGCATATTGAATACAGAGATAACATTTTCTCCCCTCCAGCGTATATTGGAGATAGCAGTTGCAAAGTGAATAAAGCAGTTTAGACTCAGAAAGCACAAACAGACTCACCTCATTCACAAAACCTAAAGGTACTCTTGCGGCAAATTTTGCTGTCTGTATTAGCACAAAGGGGCATATTACTTAGCAGGCTAAAAGGAAGTCAGGGTCTTCACAAAAGGATATTCCGTACCCTCCAACATTTCTCCAATGAAAATAGGGATTTCCTATATTATTATTATTATTATTATTAATTAATTAATTAATTAATTAATTACCCCACCCATCTGACTAGGTTGCCCCAGCCACTCTGGGGGGCTTCCAACACATATAAAAACATAATTAAACATTAAACATTTTTTAAAACATTTCTCTACACAGGGCTGCTTTCAGATGTCTTCTAAAAGTTGCATAGTTACTTATCTCCTTGGCTTGGAGTCGCATCCATACTCTCCAGCATGAAAATAGGGACATCCTACCATACCCTCCATTTCCCCCCCAATGAAAATAGGGATGTCCTAAGGAAAAGTGAGACATTCCAAGATCAAATCAGAAACTGAGACAGCTTCTGTAATTCAGGGACCGTCCCTGGAAAATAAGGACACTTGGAGGGTCTAATATTCCTGGTTTATGGATGGTTTCTTAATAGCCTGAAAATCTTACTACTTGGTTTTTTAGAATGTAGCATTGATCAAAGCTGGTAGGGCAGGGAAATATTTGGGCTCAGTGTGAATTTGGACACAGGTCAAGTCCTGCCTAAAAAAAATTTTTTTTAGAGTTCTTTGAGAGTGTATGGATAAGGGTGAGCCCATCAACATGGTGTACTTTGACTTTCAGAAAGGTTTTGAGACAATCTCCCACCCAATATTTGTGAGTAACCTTAGCAGTCACTGGATAAGGGGAGAGGGTAAGTGGTAAAAGAATGAGAAACAGTGTAGGAATAAAAGGACAGTTCTAACAGCGCAGTGGTGTAAGAAGTGGGATTCCTCAAGGATCACTCTTAGAAATCGTACTTTTTAACTTGTTCATAAATAACCTGGTGTTGGGGTGGAGGGGTGAGCAATGAAGTGGGATGTAGGAAAATTCAGGACAGACAAAAGGAAATGTTTCTTCACACAGCACATAATTAAAGAACGGAACTGAGTACACAGATTGCAAAAGCTCATTTGCCCTGCATCACACACCACCCACATTTCATAATTTTAGGCCCTCATTAGTGACGTTGTACTTCTGATCCTTGGGAATGTGACTGAAACTTTTAAAGTTACGAATAAATAAATATTATCAAATAAGCACACATTTTTATTTGCCTATGGCTAAACCTGAGAGCTTGGAACCTGCAGAGAAATTTCCTGCAGAAAAATTGTGCCGTTTCTCAGATATATGTGTGCTGTTTGCTTGAGTACCTATCTGTAGTGAGTGGAAGGGATTCAAACACTGAACTCTTGCTTGGGTTTGATAAAGGTATCTGGCAATACACGATTTATTTATTTCACACAGGGAAATGTTTTCCCTGCCCTTCAAATAAGTTCCCAAGGTGACTAAGCCAAGCGAATCCAGAATATGTCGCATCAGGAAGCTCATTTGCTCAAAGCCACCATGTTCTGCTTTTTATGCTTCACTTCCAGTTCTTGAATGTTTTTCAGAAGCCAAACATCCAACGCAGTTTCCGCTTGAGTGCGGGAAGCTCCTGCAGCCAATCAGAAGCTGCGCCTTGGTTTTCGAACAGTTTTGGGAGTCAAACAGACTCCTGGAATGGACTAAATTCGAGAACCAAGATTCCACTGTAAGTGGATCTTGGCTTTGAGACCAAGTGAAGCAACAATGGAGAAGGGGCGTGTGGCCAGAGAACACTATTCTGCCACCATTTGGTAGCTTCCCCTTGTTTTAAACCTTGATCGAACACCTTGGTTTAAAAGGTCATATGGCGCGTGTGGAAATTTCAGGTGGTCTGGAAAGAATCTAGTAAACTAGGACAAAGAGCACTTGAAGGCTTCCCACCAAAACTCTCTCTTGGAATGGACAAGGGAACCCACTTTCTACTCTGCCATAGGAGCTTCTGAAACTGCTAAATGCTCTCCTGTATTTAGCATGCATGGAATGAAATCTCCCAATCTTTTATGTACAGTGGTACCTCAGGTTAAGTACTTAATTCGTTCCGGAGGGCCGTTCTTAACCTGAAACTGTTCTTAACCTGAAGCACCACTTTAGCTAATGAGGCCTCCTGCTGCTGCCACACTGCCAGAGCACGATTTCTGTTCTCATCCTGAAGCAAAGTTCTTAACCCAAGGTACTATTTCTGGGTTAGCGGAGTCTATAACCTGAAGCGTATGTAATCTGAGGTACCACTGTATTCCCTAAATGACTGCCCCCCCCATCATGAAGGAAACAATGACTACCAAAATGTTGTTGGTGTGGGAAAATGCATCACATTTGGGAGCTGAAATTTAAATCCACGTGAGGCTTGCTAAAGAATGTGGGCAGGTTGACATTTACGATCCTTTCTCTCACCTCTTCCCTCACAAATTGGCACAGAGCTGAGAAGAGAAGATTTGCACTAGAAAGCCCCATTCGAGTGTTATCTTGGTGTTCATTCCTTGTAATATTTTGCAATTATAACAACTTAAATCAACTGCAAGTGCATTCACATCAGGCTTAATTTCAGGCTGAACTGCTGCAGAGCAATTAAGCATCATGCTTCTGTTTTAATTAAACAACCCTGTGAAATATTCAGCGTTTTGAACCTGTTCTGGCCTGCCTCTTATCACCGAATTATTGCCCTTAATTTGTTTTTCTGCTGAAAGATGGATTTCACTTTAGGATTACGGGATGCTGTACTGTCATTTTGTGGTCTCTTGTCAGCTCTTGTGAATCTAGATCATAGCTGTCTTCAGTGCCTCTGACATGTCCTATATGCACTGTCTCTTGACTAGTCTGTCTCAGCAGATTTATGAAGCCACATTTGGCCTATGAGGAGATGAATGGACGTTTTTGATTAACTTCACGACAGAGATTTCAGATGACAGCAGAGTCTTCTGCTTGGCACTTACTTCAGGTTATTCAGGGCACATTAGAGATAAAGCATTCTACTCCTTAACAGATATGCATTCTGAATTATTCAATACTGAATGGACATATCAGTTTAAAGATATTCCGAAAGACACATTTCTCAGTTTACAGTGGATTTCATACTCCTGTTTAGAAAAGGAAGGTTGTTTGAAATGAATAGTTGTGCCCTTTCTGGGAAATAAATATTTTCTTCTTCTTCCTACCTATTCTGCATTCTGCAGCCGCAAGGATATTCACAATGTAAGCCTATGCAGTTCTGCTAAGTAAATCCTATTGAGTTCAATGGGGCTTGCTCTTATGCAGGAATGTGTGGGATCTCAACCTATGGGCTACACAGTTAAAGCAGTACCATACTACATAAAACAATCATGGCTTCTCCCAAAGAATCAATCCGCTTCTGGTGAGGGAACTGGTGAGGAAATGTGGCCTGAGGAGAGGAAGCATTGTTGGGAAGGGGGTGTGACTTGGGGAGAGTCACATGTGACAGATAGATAGGCCATAGGGTCTTGTATTTGGCCCTCATGCCTGAGGCTCCCTACCCCTCCTCTAGGCAAACTACTCTTACCCTTCCATCTCCAATATAGAGATAATACCGTATTGGCCCAAATAGAAGCTGCACCTGAATATAAGCCACACCTTTAAAATTGGAGGGGGAAAGAGAAAAAAAGAAAAAAATACCCGAATATAAGCCACTCCAATTCTTACTGCTCCTGGCTGCATACTGGGGGGGGGGAGCCGCGCTGTGTTGCTGGGGGCCTTTCCCCTTCCTTGCTCTCTCCCTTCCCAGCCTTGGGGGAGAGGATGGGGGAACTACACACGGGGCTGCCACTGCTTTGCCATGCTCCCGTTGCTGTTTGCCCCATGCTCCTGGTTGCATACCGTAAGGTTGCGAATATAAGCCACACTTTAACTTTTCATGGTTGGAATGTGGGGGAAAAGTGAGACTTATATTCAGGCCAATATGGCAATACTAGGTTGCTTCCGAGGGTTGTTGTAAAGAGTGCAACAACAGAATGCTCAGTAATATCATTAAATATAACTGAGTGTGCAAAATGGATATCCCAAAATGCACTTCAAGTGAAATGTATATTTAGAAACCGGAGCTTCAAGGTTATTTTTTTAACCACAATTTCCAGGAATCTGAAACATTATCACTAACAGATTTGTATGCATCATGTCTTCAAAATCCAGCTATCAGAGCAAAGTGGGCAATTTTCGTTCTTATGTTTGGTACTTTGAGAAATAAAGTTTGGCAGCCTTAGAAACTGAGATCCTGCAAGTTTTCTGATTACTCATATGCAAAGCTGATTATGAGATTTACAGCTTTGCTAAAATTATCACATTTCAATTCCCTGCTGTAATGTATTTCAGCATTAAAACACAGCTAGGCAACTTGTATTAACTTCAAAAATAAAGAAATAAAGAAATAAATAAGATGCCTGACTCCAGTCAATCTATAATGTTTGCTAATGTCGTATATCACATTTATTTATTTGCCTTGACAGGCATGTATACTTTGCAATTTCAAGTATAATGAATATGATTAATTTTGCCTGTGGAATATCTTTTGTAGGATGAATCTTATTGATCCCAAGTTTCTTTTAAAAATTAAGTTAATTTGAATAAGGTAAAGTAGCTGAATAGGGACCAAGCTCATGGCAGAAATGAAATAACCATATGATCTCTCCTTCACTAGGTCATTGTCTGTGATTATATCTGGAAAGACCATGCCAATAAATCTGATGTCTCCAGTACTGGCCTCCAGCTCCCAAATGAAATCTTGAAATCTATCGGAAGCTCAGGAGCGGTCACTGTTCATGTATCTATATACACAGTTCATCTTGGGGGCTTCCAAGAACTGTACAGGCACTTCCTTAGACTGCCTAGTGGTGCTATTGTAGAGGTAAGTCCCAACATTCTGGTTTTTAATGTGATGTAATTGTTACAGCCAAATGACCATAGGCCACTGTACAGTGTATTCAGGATCATTCTATACTGGTCACTTGATAGCATTCTACACAAATCAGTCTCCGTAGTAAAGAATTCATATACCGCCCTATACCCGGAGCTCTCAGGGCGGTTCACAGAATAAAATCAAGATATAAAACCAGAAAAAACATATTAAAAATAAATGTTAGGGGACCTTTTGGAGCAGATCTGGGAGAAAGAGAATTGTTGCTGTGTTAGGAGAAATATGGTCATCTTCTGATTGATGTCGCTCATTGTGTGTTTGTGCTCCTACCACACATATAGTAAGAAAGTTGTCTATTCATTATTATTTTCTATTTATCGTCTGCGTGAACAATTTCAGTTTGGGATTAGGATGGAGCAATGTGTTCCGTGGGGAAATGTGTTCTTTTGAGGGGGCATCTGAATTCTGGGAGAAAGAGGGAGGGAAGAGGTGAGGAATATATAGTGGTGTGTGCTTGAGAAAAGGGGGGAGGGATGAGGGAGGAAGCTGCATGCATGTGCTGGAAGGAAGTTGCAAACCCAGTTTCCCATGGATTGGCAGTGGCCTTCTGGGGTTTTAGCCTCTCTCAGCATTGAAGCAGGCACTTTCTGCATGCAAAATTGCCACCTCCCTAAAAACAAGTCATTGTTTCATTCATAGTTCTTCCTTTTTAAATTGTCCTTTGAGTTTTAGCATTTTAAATGCATTTAGAAGCCATGCACAGAGCATTTAATACTGGTGATACATTGTGATAACACAAATATGGCGATTTTTGTTTTGTTTTGTTATTATCTTGGCTTCTGCTGCCTTCAGTTGATTTCTTATTAAGAGGGCAACGATAAGCCACTTTTAACTCAAGACGAAATCAGTTTCTTATTAAAGGGTAAGTAAAGCTTAATGTTGCACAGAAACTTTTTTCTTTCTTTTTTTGGGACAGCCTGCTTTTTATCTGGTTTTTAAAAAAGCAAAACAAAACCACCCTTAAGATTGAATCACTCTAAACACAGAGAAGATGAAAGGGAGATCTTCCCTACCCTCCACAATTGCTTGAAATGAAGCAAGCGGTAATAAGATCAGACAGTCTGGGTAACTAGCCTATTACTTCATGAAGCCGTTTACATCCATCCATATGCTGCACATGATGCTTAAGCTCTTGTGTCTGCCTTGGAAAGTGAATAAAATCATCTAGGCTTATTTGGAATGCAAGATCAGATACGGTATGCTGAGTGACACTTAAAAAGAATGAAGCGGTAACTGTAGCTTATTTTCCAAAACAATCTTGACACTAATGCTAAATTATAGCTTGGAATCATCTAGCATTTTTACCTTTATGAGGAAAGGCTTTTTACATATTTAACATAATTCTAGGGAAAATATACTGGCATTATGTATAAAGATATGTATACTGTAACCAAAGGGCATGTATATTCCCCAGTAGAACACTTTCCGCAATGTTATTGCCATTTGGTGTCATTTCCTAACAAATATAAAATACGATCGGTAAACAAACTAGACTTTAGATTTAAGCTGACAGCTGTTCCTTCAGAAGCAATATTCAGATATTTAATCTAAGGAACACCGAATGTGTTGTGGCTGTTTGAGAAAACTGTACTTTTATAAAAATGAAGGGCTGCACAGTTTGGCGCATTGTTCTTGGAACTGGTAAGGACATATCAAACAGCTCTCAAATCGCTTACACATTTGTGGCTGGTGAGTGCTTCCTGGGGAAATAAACAGATTACCTAATGCTTTATTTTGAAAGCAATTCACTGTATTTAGATTTGAACTCTTACTCCGAGTACCACGAATGAGATAACCCATGAACAAGGCCATTGATTATACTGAAATGTTGTACGTAGTGAAAGCAAGCCCAAATGTGTTGGTGGTTACGTTTGCTCACATGCAGTGGAGCCCCAAGTTAAATGCTTTCTGCACCAGAAGACTGCACATTCATGGGAGGGAGGGAGGACTCCTACTGCAATCCAAATCAGAGAACATCAGGGATGATTCGATAGCCTAATGCAGGAGCTAATTGACCCTTACTTGGATCAATTCATTGACATATGAATGGCGGAAATCTTCACAGAGAGGATACCCTGAACAATTTCAAGGCATAAATGCAAATGATATGTAAGTCTGTAAGTCATAAATGAAGAGCTGTGGACCCAGTAAAGAAAAGGTGAGGCATCACCTTCTGATGAAAGTCAGATGACATTGAAGATGGCCACAAGTATGCACTAACTGTGATATTCAGGGATGGCCACACATCTGTATTTTGGGGCTTGTAGCATTTCTGATCAAGATGGATGACCCTTGCTCCGAAAAGCATGGTCAAAATTAAATTAAAGCGTTCAAGAAAGCTTAGATACATGGTGTCACTTTCAGTAGACGCTAGTCTGCAGTATTTTTTTTTAATGCCTGAATCACCAAGGTGCCATGAACTGCTTCAGGGGTCCCTGCTTCAACTCACGCAGCCATATACAGAGGGAGTGTGTGTTCACTTTACCTCAGACAAGACAAAATCCTTCTGATGCACTCTACTTCTGCTCGGCATTCAGGATTCACTCCAACCAAATGCACACACCTAATTTAAATCAGCTCCAAATCTCTGGGACTAGAGATCTATGAAGGGACTAGGCCTCTCCAATAGACTATTATTCACATCCCAATCATCCACTGACATTGTTGTGGTTAAACCAGGGCTGACTTATAATGATGAATTATGAAGTCTCTCATTCACAGTGATGCAGAGAGCAGAAAGGTGAGACACATACACCTTTTGGCAAGGAAGTTGTAGTATTTGTTTTAAAAATTCAGATGATGTCTCACATAGGGTTTCACCTCCCTGTCTCCTCCCTGGTACTGTGGGAAAGGGTTTGATATGTAGAAACAACTGGACTAAAGACATGTCTGCATGGCAATTTTGAAGACAGGTGGGATGCTCATCTAATAGTAATCCAAATCGCTGAAGCCTCTTTTGGCTTAAACTATACTGTGCTTCATGGGCACTACCTAGGGAAGACTGGGGGGGGGAAGGACCCCCCCCCCCAAAAAAATTCAAGGAGTTGGATGGGCCCCCTCTAAATTCTGTGGCGGCCATGCACACACAGCACATGGTGGTACTCAATTCACATGCGTATGCCGCAGGGCTTGCACACAACACATGCTGACTTCACACGGTCCCAGCACCCTTGATTGTGGAGGCAAGGTGGCATGCTTGCTGTTGTTTCTAGCTGTTTGGAACAGTTCCTAGCTGTCAAATAAGAAAGCAAACCTTTTAAAAAGTTAGTCCTTGGTACCTTCTTATGAGGTGGCATAAGGGCTGCCTTTTAAAAATGTATGCCTTCTTGCTTCAGGCCTGGCTGCTATCAGACAACCTGGCCACCACCACAACCAGCAAACAAGTGTTCAACGTGACCCCAAAATTGATGGGGCGGAGTCATGTGTCGTCCCTCCCAGAGAGGTTGTTGGAGGAAAACAAAACAGGCTGCCCACTTGGTTTTGGTGACACAATGTGTTGTGACATCTGTTCATTTGGAACAACTTGAAATGTAGCTGATTCTTGTACACTTTGTGCATTTTCCAACATGTGTGCATGCAAGTTAACATATGCAAAAGTAATTGCTACATTTATTTTTCTACTTAAAACTTCTGCTCTAATGTTTATATTTGGGAAATACAAAATGGATGCATTTCTGAAGCGATTTCATTCCATTTGATAAATGGCTCCTGAGTGAGGAGGAGCCTCGACTTGATGCTATGTCTGTTCCAGAAAGCAAACATAAATTGTGATAGTAAAAATCAATGTGCCAGGTTATTTAATTCCAAATGGGCCTTTTGCGGATGAGGAGAAAACTTTGCTTAGACTTTGTGGTTCATTCCAAGTTTGCTCCAGCATATATCCACAATCCACATTCTTAATGTTTAAATGCTTCAAATATTTATTTAGCATATCTTATTGCTGATTCAAGTTTTTTGTTTGTTTTTTTAGAAAAAGCAAAAAAAAAAGAGTCAAAGATAATTACCAAGCAATATTAGCTCAGCTTACCTAAACAAAAATATAACCTTTTCAAAAAGTACCTTGCAGCTACATAGATTGACAAAAACACATCAATTATAATTTTTACTCACTTTTATAATTACACTATGAAGTGAACTTTTGGGCGAAGTTGATTAATTAAAAGGTTACTGCCATTGAGTCACTTTCAGAAGCAATGACTTGGCCTTTAATTAATTCAGTATTGAGACTATGTATATGTTTGTTTATATTTGTATACATGCTACAGTTTATTATATGCAAATTTGTTAACAGCTTATAAAATGCGAAGTGATTACTATTATTATAGTTCTTAACATTTAACATGTGAGTTATATATAATTATTAAGTTAATTAAATTAAATATAATTAGTAAGTAATATATAATTATGAATTTTGAAGATCAGTCTCTGCATGAATAATTTTTTTGACACCAATTGATTTCAATGCAGCATTAAGTACAAGCTTATTCTCATTTAATTTTTTTAAAGAGATGTGGTAGAGTTTGTGAATTTGCTGAATCTATTAAGAGATCTAGCCCATGTCACCAACTCCAACACAGTTTGTTCATTTCTTCCATCAGAATGGTGCATTCACCTTAATTGCTCATTGTCTTATATGTCCAGTCTCTACACCTGTTTGACCATCCATGAAAGATCACTCCCGTTTGCTTATCTTTATATAGGTAATGAGGACACCAATTGTGTTTGTCTTGACATACCCCATCAGTCACTCTCCAGCAAAGCCTGTAGCCCTAAATGATCCTTGATGTAGATTCTAGGTGATCCTAGATGCAGCATGACAATATTATTCTATATTTGAATCACTCATCTGCAATATTTTTCCTACATCCAGTGTATTCCCAAAGCCAGTAGCTTCCCCCCTTTATTTCATATACTTTTCTTACTCACTTCCC